GTTTTTCCTGCGCGCACTAAGCAGGACTTCCTACAGCGACCGTGAAAGAAACGTACAGATATAACATTCTACGAGAGAGAAACAGAGAAGGAGAGAGACGATCTCGTCCGGTATCACGCATTCGGTATCATCAATCGTACATATTTCCGGCTATGAAAATAGCGAGCTATCGCGAGTGTAATGGAACTTCTTTGCTTTGGAACGGTGCTACTTTTCCGCAAAGTGAAATCTTCTTCTGCTCTCACTCTCCTCCCTTGCATCACGCATTCATGTATGACCACACGATAGTATCCAGAAAAAATTAATGAGAGAGAGAGAGAGAGAGCGAGAGAGAGAGAGAGAGAGAGAGAGAGAACGCGCATTTTTATTCCCATTAGGAAAGATTCCGGAACAGAAGGCTGACTCGAGCTCGACAATTTCAATCAGGGGGCTCCTGCGATAGCCTCATCAGCGTTTAATCGCCAGGTAATTATGACCTGCCGGCGATCTAATGTATATTACGGAAATCTATGGCTGGGCACGGTGGCGAATTGTTCAGCGGCCGGCGGTAGTAGCCGCGACGGAGAGATACGGTGGATAGGAGCGTGGGCCGTTTTAATGCTATTGAGGCACCGCGTGCACGCGCGCGCGCGCGCGCTCGCGTGCGTGTGCCGGCGCGTAGATGCGCACATATATCGGGTAATCCACGCGTGCACATGTGTGACTTAACCGCACTCGCGCGCGGGTCAATGCCTCGGCCGTTTCCGAGTAGTAGGGTACGCACTTACGCCGCCGTATACCTTTTCCCTCGCGTTATACCCGCGAGCACGCGTTTCAAGTGTACCCGCGTCCGCGAACGTACGCACGTGTTCGTCGGGGCTTCCGCGAGGGAAGGCCACGCGCGGCGACGTCCGAGAGTCCGGAGCGACGTTGTGTAATCTTTTCGGGATGTCCCGTTCTCGGAATTACGAAACGCGTTTGACGGTCTCCTGGGCTGAAGGGCCCTAAAATTACTGACGCGTTTGACGCGAGATTCCACTGATTAGAAGTACGAGAGACGCTACTCTCCGGGTAAAAAGAAGACAGCAACCCATTTTGGGGCCCACAATTAGTAATCGAATTATTTGAATTGTTCGTAACTCTAATCTCTTTTACGAATTTTACCCCGCGTAACTAAAAATCGCAATTAGCTATTCTATCTATATCCAAGATTTTTAAGTAATACTAATCAATTATCTCAATTAGTTCTGTCGATATTCAGTAACGCAAAGATAATTTTCACTCAAGAGGCACTAACCGAAATGTTAAGTTGTTTAACTACAAAAAAAACGGTCAAAATTTTTTCCAGAGTAGAGTTACGAACAATCTAAATAATTCGATTGCTAATTGTGGACCCCAAAATGGGTTGCTAACTGTCTTTTTTTCCAGAGTACATCCACAGAAAAGATTTCCAGATCTAATACTATTACACTTCATAAAATAGAATCGATATAGCGCCAATCATATTTATTATAGAGAAAGGAATATTTTAATCTTAAATAAAAAAATTCTAAAATCTAGAATCTAAAATCTAAAATCTTTTGTCGAATATCGTCGTGTTGACTTTGTGCGTAAGATGGAAGGACAATTTATTCTAAACGCAAGAATATACAAACTTACATTTATATAAGTTACTCTTGTCTCGATATAGTAAGTCAATCTTTTTTAATTCGATAGAGGAGAATAAGAATCATTGATTTTATTTTGATATTGTCTTATTTTTATACTAAATGAGGTTGTGAGAAATATAATATAACGTTTCGTTATTGCATGGCAATTTTTACGTAACGATTTTTTTATTTCGATCAGAATTGATTTGGATCAAGCGCTTCTCAAGCAATGCTTCGTGATATTAGAAATTTTAATTATTCAGGAGATTTGTTTTTCTTCATAAAAGTTGTCATTGGAATGCATTGAGATATCGAATCAATGTTTATAAGAAAATAAGAGATTAACAGAAAGTAATTAAAAAATAAGCAACTAAATAGCACAATTGTCGCAATTTTGTTCGTTTTTCTAACGTGTCCGATTTTACAAATGTGGATCAACTTTCATCTTGGTTTAACTTACTTTTCCTAACTCGTAGAAACTGGAAGCGGGTGAAAAGCAAGTTAAACCAGGATTACAATTAGCCTGCATTGTGATAGAAATGGGCATTAATCAGTTATACATTTTATGCGCATTATCCGCGATCAATTTTCATACACGACAGTCTTATACGCGATGAAGCATCTGACTAGAAAGTCCAGCGTGAATACAAGATTCGCAGGCGGTGTTTAATGTACCGCTCGTAATGCAGCGCTAATGTTACGAATATAGTAACCTTTAAATCGAATTACGGGAATCGGTGATTACGGTTACGGCGGTGATTTGCAAGGTCAGTACGTGGGCATCGAACATCATGGTACATCTCTCCGTCGATCCACTCGGCTTGCCATCGAAGGCATCGACGCCACACGATCATACGGTCGATCGTGACCGCGACACGATCGTAACTCCCATTATTATCATAGGCAACCTAGAAAACTAAGCATCCGTGGTCCCTGTCCCCGTAATGTACGCGGCAGAATCATTGCACCACGCAGCACCGGACCGTGAAATGCCGGAGAGCGCTCACGAGAGAAGAGTCCTTTATCTTGACGGATAAGATTATATCTGCATACCGGACAGGTGCGCAGGTGTGAAGCGCAATTACCGGCGCGATAACCAGAATCTCTCGCGCTAATACAATCGCGATTATTACCGCGAGTAATCCGGTTCGCGCGAGATCATCGTGACGCTGCGATATAAATCGCGCGTTCGAACGAAGCGTCAAAAGTTAGTGATGGAAGATCCCGCTTATTAGAGCCGTCCTTATTGAATTCATTTCTGACAGCGACTTTTCTTCAGCTCGATAGAGTTGCGCATCGTACATTCCTAAAGGATTCGGAGGCTGATCGATCGTCAAGTTTTTCAAGGCCTGTGTCCACGATGCTAGGACTTGGTTCAAGTCCTAGTTTCGAGAAATGTGTAGCCTATCAATTTACAACTATTTCGTAAAAGCTGCAAGTTGATTGGCTACATATTTCTCGGAACTAGAGCTTGGACCAAGTTCCAGCATCCTGGACGCAGGCCTTCAGAGATCGAGTTATTTTACACACTTCTCGATCACAAGAGACGAGAGGATAAGCGAATTTTCCAACAATCGAGAGGAATAGAGACGTGAAACGAGCGATAAAATAAAAATTTCTACATGTGGCCCGTTTACCTCCCAGATAACAATTCTTGCGCGCCAATTTTGCTTGTCTTAAGGCCTGTGTCCACGATGCTAGAACTTGGTCCAAGTTCTAGTTACGAGAAACGTGTAGCCATTCAACTGGCAGCGTATTCCGTAAAAGCTGCTCTTGGATCGTTGGACACAAGGCTTTATGCATGCAAACTTGTACGAGATTTGCCTGAGTTGTGCCCGTAAGATATGTTTAGCCCGTGCCTTTGCACGCAAGTGGTCAGCTCATGTATTAACGCATAAATATCTAACGACTCGCGTACAAAAATGGCTCAACAACGCAAGCAAAATCCTATCCAAGTGCGTCGTCCTAAATCTAGATGTTTGCCCGCAAAATGTTTTCTGGACTATTGTGTCTCTTAATACTCGTATTTTTTTTATACGTGCTTTTCATTAATTAATATTCCCAGTGTCGTTATCGCGGCTGATAAAGCTCGATGAAGCTCGAAACGTTCCGCAAATGATTATAGACATCGATAAATCAAGTTATACTGTTCAAATCTATATTTCTGTTCGTTTATTGTCCCATGAGTCTACTTTGTGTTACAAATTACGAGCTTGGCTGTATTATTATTTAAGATTCCCATTTTCGTTACAATATCGCATATGCGGTGCCGGTGCGTGGCCGTCGCCTTCGTTCCGGCGGAACGCACCGCGTGAGTGAGGTACCGTTTGAAAATACCACGAAGCAAATTCCGCGGAATCGTTCTACAGCACGGACGATCGACAGCGCGCGCGCGCGATGTGCGCGCGACGTGCGCGACTCTCTAATTAAACGTAACGTTTCGTATTGTATGAAAGTGACCGAAAAGGAGATGCACTTGTCAAGAAGAACAATGCACCTGCCTTGAGACTTTCCGCCTCGCGCTTTATTCGAGTCGGACGCGCTAAGAATGTCGTTCAATGTCACTTCCGCTTCTTCACTGCAGCCATGTTGGATTGTGACATCGGAAATGATACGCTGCAGTAATTGCCGAAATAAATTAATTCTCTCTGCGCACCATCGAGCAATAAAGTGTACTCGATATGTTCATGGATTAATATAAATATAATTGCCGTTTTATCAATTTTATGAAATTTATCTTCGTAACACAGAAAGTTCGCATTGGAGAAAAATCCGCTATCATGAAATAAACTCCTAATATGAGATAGCAGGGTTTTTGCGAAATTAATAGGCATCATCTATTGGTTTCATCGTTAATTTAGTATCCTTGGAGTGAAGTCTGTTTAGTGGAAAACTCATTGTTAGATCGTGTAAACGTCGTGAATAAAGATTTGCGATTAAATTTTGATGTTGAAAACCTGCTATCTCATATTAGAAGCCTATCTCATAATAGAGGACTTCTCTCTATATGTATCTGATATATGAAAATAAGAATAGTTTTTTATAAATTTCTTAAACTACATTATCAGAATAAAAAATGCTACTGAAATGTGATGTAACGGAAGAAAAAGAATTTATTTCTTCCCTCTGACATTTCTCTCGTAATCCAACGGTGCTGCAATAAAAAGAGATTAAATTAAATTTGATCTCGCGAAAACATAATACGTTTCAATTTCGTTGTAATTTCTAAATTTAATTGCAATTACACACGTCTTAAAAAAAATAAGAACAACAAAATAAAGTCGCGCGACTACGTTAACATGTCTTTCTTTTCAAGCTAAAGAAACTGCATCTCCTGTTTATTCCCCGACTAATTTGCCTGTGATTTTTCAGCGAGTCGGACATGGCGCCGAATGCGGAGGAGGAGCTGCTGGTTGTAAAACCATGGGGGCCGCAACCGGAAAAGGTAAGGACCCAGCGTTAAGTAAATTACGGCGTGCCGATGTTAAGCCGGGGACGATTGTGTCGCGCGTCGGTTCGCCGGCGTGTAAACGGCGCGGAAGCTTTATGATGTAACTTGAGTCGCGTTAAACGCGGGCCTCGCCGCGGCAGGATGTTTCCGATTAGCATATCTTTCAACTTTGAGTAAATATACACGGGAGAGGGACAGGCTCTGGACCGGCAAGACGACCGATCTTCATTTTGTGCTCGGCGCACACCGTGAGAACTCCGCCACCCCTTCGGACACGATTCTGGCGCGGCAAGAAAGAGGATATTAATATTAAGAGAATAGAGCCGACCTTGCGCGAGAGCTAAAGTAGCAAGTCACCTCCCCGCCTTGACCTTGTCGCTAACGGCATATGCGCGCGCCGTACGGCTTGATTATATATTGCGTATGGTAACTCATAAATATTCCCGCGTGTCTTTCCCACCGCTTGCGATACACCGCGCTCCTTGCGTCGCGAGATAATATATATCTCACACTGTCATACGCGCGATTAATGAGAACGTCAATTTCCGCGATACAACTTCTTCCCCAATTAACCGAGGCGCATGTCTTAATATCGCGACCATTAGCGAATCTCGATCGCGTGCATTGCAATTTATAGTTTGTACACTGAAAAAAATTTCTGGTTGAATATGGACGAATCAGATAATTCCTTTAGGATTTACCAGAATTTCTGTAGGATTACAGGAATTTCTGTAGGATTACAGGAATTCTGGTAAATTCTAAAGGAATTCTGGTAAATCCTAAAGGAATTATCTGATTCGTCCATATTCAACCAGAAATTTTTTTCAGTGTACAAGTCCGTTTTGCAGCGCGTAACAGTGGGCATCAGCCGTGATAACGCAAGAATAACGTGGGTTTTTCGATTTCCTTTCCATTTCTTTTCCCCCCGCTCTGTTGCATTTTTCTTTCGAACCAGCTGGAGCAAAACCCATCTGTATTCTTCACTCGTACTACATTTACTCGCCAACGTGACAGCGAACATCAGCTGTGATAACGATACCCTAGTAGCACAATCTATCGGCGCAATATTGGGAAATAATATAAATTTACACTGACAAAAATGTCCGATTAAATATAATCGGATAATCCAATTATATAATAACAAGCGGACATATCCGATTAAATTGTAATATTGGTTCAATATTGTAAGACACCTTCTCTTGTTTTGTCAATATTCTTATTACATTGTTAAATATTGGCCAATATAAATCTGATATTATATAATTTTTATCATGCAATATTACATTTGTTCCATGGCCAATATTGGCTTTACCTTGGACAATAATCGGCCAATGCATTTCTATTATAACCAACATTGGACCAAGTTTTAGCCAATGTTTAGCCAATGCACTGTGCTACTAGGATAATTATTCACGATTCAATCTAACTGAGCACGTATGTGTTAATTCACCCAAAAAAAGATGGCGCGCGATAGTTTCACTTTGACGCGCGTGAAAGTCCGCGGATTTTACGAGTTAAGATCGAAATTGCTCAATTCGTCGGATGAAAATGGAAATCGCATGGATGGACTCGAAACGAGATCGACTGTGACGAGATATCGTGCGCGCGGCGATGTTCCGCCGTTGCGGGAAAGTCTCGGCGGCGATTTCACTTAAATTGCGGAAGGGATGCGTAAAGCGTATGTAAAGCTGACGGCGTATCGAAAGTGTTGTTATTAACACTTTCGATAAATCATCAATTTTACAGGCGGCGCGCGCCCCGCCGCCATTTTTCCCTCGCACCGAATTGGAAATTTCAAAGAAGGAGGAAAAAAGAAGATGGCTCGTCTTCGTTTCCTGGACGCGCGAAGCGCGAACGCACATCTCCGCGCGAGTTAATTAATAAGCGAGTTATACCTACGATCGTAATTGCTATAGAAACCTTATCTCTCATCGTCACGATGTCACGTAAAGACAAGCCAAAACGAAGGCAACATCGGCACGCGTCGTATCTCGCTGTAACGAGATCCAATCATGAGCGTTCGTGGATAATAGCAATAAGTACCCAGCGTGATTGATCGTGATTGCTAATGATCCTCACGTCGTGTAAATCGATTTAAATCTGTACTTTCTAGAAAGCCATTCAATTTTTCTCTCTCCTCTATTGAAAGATATCTCTCTTTCGTTTTTTTAATCTTATAATTACGACGTAATCTTATGCATCGTCTACAATGCGTGGAGTAAGCCTGGCGTAAGGAGTAAGAAAGAGCCATAATCTTTAGCTTTTGGTGCAAGGAAGCTAAAATACAGACATAATTTTTAAAATATTTGTGATACTGGCGTTCCAATTCGCCGAGAGTAAGCGTAAGAGTTGAAGTAGGAGTAAGAAATAAAATGCATTAATTTTCTTACTCCTTAATAGCACAATATATTGGCGCAATATTGGGAAATAATGTAAATTCCCAATATTGGTCCAATATTGTAAGATGGACGCCTTCTCTTATTTCGCCAATATTCTTATTACATTGTTAAATATTGGCCAATGCATTGCCAGTATAAATCGAATATTATATAATTATTATCGTGCATTTATTATACATTTATTCCATGGCCAACATTGGCTTACGTTAGACAATATCGGCCAATGCATTTTTAGTATAAACCAAGATTGGACCAATATTTAGGCAATGTTTAGCCAATGCACTGTGCTACTAGGATACTCCTACTTCAGGCTTACTGCACGCATTGTAGACGACTCATAATTGTAGCCACCGTTTCGCGAAGTGCTGGACGGGCTACCAGCTGTAATCTCGCCGATAACACCCCGTCGCATCCGCGGCCGATCTTCGATTTCCGACGTGTGATCTTACAAGCCCGCAGTGTGGAGTCAATACTCGGGAAATTCAATGCAAATTCAATGCGAAGGATAACAGAGAATATTTATCCCGATGCGCGCGGGAAGGAAGCGAGCGGGTCTAAAGCGACCGATCGGGTGGACGTGGTGCGCATAAACAGTGTCAAGAAATTATATCGAGATATTCTCATTGTCGCGCCGCGTTTCTCCGCTCTCATAAATAGTGTTTATTTACTAGCGTACCACCGCGAACGCGAGCGAGAGCCGCGAGTGAATTGCGATCGACCGCGATGCGACAATGCGGTATCCAGCAAGGGCGAAGATGCACGACCGCAAACCGGAGATGCAAGAATAACGTGGGTTTTTCGATTTCCTTTCCATTTCTCCCCTCCCCCTCACTCTGTTTTGTTTTTCCTTCGAACCAGCTGGAGCAAAACCCGTCTGTATTTTTCACTCGTGCTACATTTCTGCGCAACGTCTGCCTCATTCGCGTGCGAGTAAAAACAGAATAATTTGAAGAAATTCCCATACAGCTTATTTAATTCAGGGGTCTCTGAATTCTTCGCTCGTCCGATTAACCCCGGCGCTGCCGTTTGATAAGCGCGCGTTATATTGAAATACAAGAACCGTACGCGCTTACGGGAACGATTCTGAATGTAATTGACTCATTTGAATAATTTATACCGCTTCCGTGTGCGTCAATAGCGGATTGCTTCATAATTTATACATTCTGCATTAACCGTAAGCACGAAAGTAAATCAATTTTACGTAATTTGTTCGCGTGGAGTACAACAGTATGTATTGGCGAGGAAGCATCGCTGATTAGAATCGCCTTCCCTCCCGCAACGCTTAAAAGCGAGAAAGGCTTATTGCACATTTTATTCTCGTGGCTGAAACGGAATAAATTAATTTGCGCACTCGCATTCGATTTTCCGATATTAATGCAAATTATCGTACGACATTTCTGCATAACAGATCGACTCGTTTGCGCACAAGGGCGCGTTTTCTTTTGATTATAATAATAATAACCTTTATCGTGTTCTCTTTAGGGTTACAGTCTTTACCTTTTACATTTTTTCCACTCTAAAACTTAGCCTAAACTTAAATCTACTTAAACTATATATTTCGAGGGTTTGCGAGTTCTTTCGATTATAATTCTGTTTTAATTCGCTTAGAATTTCTTTTGTCTGAAACACAAATTATATTTTAATCTATATATTCGCAACTGGCAGAAATCGAGCCGTATACAAACGGTTAATTTCGATCCCAGTTTCATGGCTGTATTTCGCCGTAGCCGTTCTCGTAGCTGCGTCCAGCTACTGGCCGCAACTTATGGACAACGAGAAGAAACGATAATCACTACGATCCTATCAATTTACGATCGAAAGCGCCCTGAAATTAACCGTAGATATCTTCCTACCCTTCGACATATAAATATTTCATACGTATAAGCGGCAATAATTCGCGTGCTCCTCGAGAACCGCTCGATGTGCGAGGTGCCCTAACATCGCGCTGCTAGTTGTGCATAGATTAATAAATTAACTCTTTAACCATTCGAAGTATACCTTTTTCCTTTCAGCCGATTTCTCTGAAACTTGATTCTTAAGGGATTTTTGGCTGATTACTTTACTGTATTTTTATGTGCTTTCACACTGAGAAAAATTTCCATCGGATAGACCATTTAATTAAATAGCGTTTCCGATGATCAATTTTTCCGATTCATTGTTCCGATTAAATTATGTACATATCCGATAAAATTTCATCCAAAAACCGATTATATTCTTCATCGGATATACAATTTAATCGAATATATCCGTTTCTTATTATAATGTAATTGGATTATCCGATTATATTTAATCGGATATTTTTCTCAGTGCATCTTTAGCGAACCAAAAATCTTGTAGATATGAAGTAGTAAAGGCATCGGAGTGAAAGAAGTTATATTGGTTTTTAAATTTCTGATGGTGCAACATATATTACACCGTGCTTCAAAGGGTTAAATTAAAACGACATTTTCAACTACGATCATTTCATAATTTTTTATGAACTTTAATGAACTTTAAAAGGACCTTCGTAGATATTCGTTACAGTTCGGGGTCGTATAATATAGTATTACTTTCAACGTGGATAGAAAATGCCATTAATTATATAAACTGATATTGCATGGAATGAAGTACAATTGGAAGAATCTTTCTAATCAGCTGATCAAACTGTTGGCACAGGAACGCTTAAGACCACCCACGTATAATGCCGAAGATTACGCAATCGCGCTGAGACGATGGGGAAGGCGCCCATTAGGAACCGTTCAAGACTCTCAAGGTACTCTGCCGTCGACAACCAGTTCGAGTTCCGGTTATGCATCCGGAAGTGGCGAGATGACCTTGAGACAGTTCACGTCGGTCAGCGAGCTGTTAAATAAACTCAGAGCCGACCTCAGACTCGCTTTTCCCAGGTTAGTGCCCTGAGAAAATTGATCACTTGTCACTAACAGATAATTATAACAGGTAGAGTGACTTTTACTAATTTTTCCTAATATAATTATTTGCCTGTCGATACATTTCAATTTTAATTATGACGTAATCTCGATGATTTTTTAAAATATTTACTTTTTATGTAAGTCATACGCATAATTTAATTAGAATGCAGTACCTACACGGAGATAATTTTCTTTTAAAATTTATCCTGAAAACATTGTAATCGTCGGACAACATCTCAAAGAATGTTATGAGTATTTTGAAATTTTACCATACATTTCACTAATAATTCACAAAGTGTGAATTATTAAAAATACTTTGTGAAGTAACTCGCAAAGTACTTCAAAATGCCATGTCGTTCCACGATTAATCGATTTTCAGTGTAAATCTTAAGAGAAAATTCTTTCCGCGTAGTTTCAAGAAACGACCTCTAAAGAATTTGCTTGTATTTGCGGGGGGGCTCATATTTATCTACTTACGTATATATGTACTTGTATATAAGATCTAAAGATAGGTCGAGAAATCAAGCTTCTCAGAAATAGAAATAATTTTCTATTTTAGAGATTTGCTTATATTTTTGTATGATTTTTTTTACATAAATTTGTCTCTGCCTACGATACATTTTTATCCAGTGTGGCAAACACTATTTAGCCCTTTTCGTAACATCCTACGTACGTCGTACTTTTCGGCTATTTTAGTATACTTTGGCCTTTACTATTTACACGATTACAAGGGAAAAATTCCACAGGAAACGATTACTGCTCATTTTATAGCGCGGATTCGTTCACTCTCATATTCTCGGAATAGCAAATTTCTGAATGTACACGCGAGAAACACACGCGGAAGTATGAAGTATGAATTATTTGCGAACGATTAAAATAACACTTACTGTTCGTGCTCTCCGGGTGGAACTAATGACGAGAGAGATGTAAGATATTAATCTCGCGGGAGACGCCGAGTATAAATCGAAACGAGCCCGGAGAAACTCTCGGATCAAATGCAGAAATCCAAATTCCCACGTTCGCGAGACTTTTCAATTTCGAGTCGTATCTCAGGGGATAACATATGACGCACAGGAGAGATCGCCGACCGAATATTGGCCGGACGATGGAAAAAAATGCAGAGTCAGTTTACAGTTACCTTTTATGCCTCCTCGCGGAGAGGACGGGCGTGCGAGACGTTTCAGCTCATCAAAATTCTTCCCTCTTAATCGCGACACTCGGTCGCGCTTTGATTCACAGCTCGAGAATTCTCGTACATTCAGAAGGGGCAACGCTCGAGGGGCAAACGAATCTATTTCTCACGCGGAACAAGTTAATTGAACAAATAAAAAAAAAGACAATTTATCGCGAAAAGTATTACCTCAGGGTTTAAACCTGGACCTTCCTACACTCTAGGTGGGCGTCTCACCAATTCGACCACCGGGGCATTAAACGTAAAACATAAACATCTTTATCAAACTTTATATCGTTATTGCGACAAATATTATCACACAGTTGAAAAATTTGTGTTAAATTTTAACAGATATCACATATCTCAAACGGTCCACATAAATTTTTGTGTTAATTTAACATAATATGGATGTTAAATGATGACACTAATACTCTGTTAATATTTTAACACAAAATAAATGCAAATCTCAAAATAATTTAAAATAAATTTTGCTTAAAATTAACATACTTTTAATGACAAAATAAATTTTAAACAATGTAATTTTTTCATTTTACAGATGTAATTAGTCAAATGACGGTTCGAAATCACTCTCGCTTATGTTATATAGAATAGAATCAACATTTTGTTCTGTAAATTTTAACAGATAAATCTTGTTACTAATAATATAGAATATATGTATTGTGTAAGATTAAAAAATAAGTACACATTGTGTTGTTTTAACATTTCTTTTCAGTTATTTTAATAATGTTACATTTCAGGTCAATTGACACAAGAGCAATATGTTAAATTAACACATAAATGTGTTAAGCATTTAATATTGTACAAAAATTTTAACCGGCATTTTTTTTAACAAGAAAACAAATTTTCCAACTGTGCCTCGGTGGTCGAATTGGTGAGACGCCCGCCTAGAGTGGAGGTCCAGGTTCGAACCCTGGCCGAGGTAATTTCCGCGATAAATGTTCTGTACTATTTAAGATGCCAGGTACGGTCAAGAAAACACTGACGTTGATAATTACCGCTGGCGACATTGAAGAATTCTGATTAAATAAAAAAAAGTCTCTCTCGTGTGGTACCCCCGAAGCGAAGTGTCTCGGGAATTAGTCGCGATTCTAAACCGGTAACGTCGTAAAAATCACTTGCACGATTACAAAAGCAGCGCCGAGGGCGTAATGCGCAACCGCGCGCAACATTCACGTCTGTTAAGTCCGAGGATGATTAAGAATCGCGCGTTATCGCCGGGAAATTTTTCCTCCCGCCTGTCAATGCTTCACACCGCCGGTCGGAAGATCGATGATGTTTGTCTCGCGCGCCGAGACGCCCGGGGCGCGTTTGTTCACATCGATTCGTAGCGCCTATAATCGCGGCCATGAGATAGTCGGCTAATTGGTTGTAATAATTAAGTCGCGATAGCAATCTTGTTTCTGGCAAATGAAGCTTGTAATAATTTCCACCGACAAGCCACCTAAATTGGCTGCGCAAACAATTACAATTATTTGTTTTAAAATTGGATTGGTCGCCCCTCAGACTCAAACTGGCCAGCGAGTTGTACCACAATGTCGAGTCAAACTAAGATAAATTAATTTCTTCACCTCGTGTTATTAAAAAAGAAATGATTGTGACATGTCGAGAAAAAAAAAGAAGTGGGTAAAAGGTAACAAAAAGTAATGAGAAGGAAGAATATAAAGTTAGGCGGTTTCGTTTTATAATTTCGTGACTGCAGGCCTCCACTTTGAAACACGATTTAAACACCGTAACACCTTTTTCTATTAACTGTTGCGCTAACAGGATCGTGTTTCAAGTCGTGTTTCAATCATACATCGTATATCGCACGCGGAATATTACGTCCGGGCGATCCGACGCGTTCAACTACGTTCGACGATCGCAATTCGCGGCTGTCCTGAAATTAAAGCCACGACGTATCCTGCCTGCCGCTCCCCGACAAACGATTTACATGGCGCGAATGATCTACCGTACGCTCCGCTCGAGAGAGCGAGCGAGCGAGCGAGCGAGCGAGAAAGAAATATAGATGGAAGAGAACAGCGCGGATCCGTTAACTCGGCAGATGATTAAAGACGATGCTCAGCATTAAATTCTTCCACAGTCTGTCGCTGGTACCAGCGCGTTTTAAAGGACGAGCGTTGATGGCTCTATCCTGATGCGCGCGTGCGTCATATGGCGAACGAGAATGTCCCAGATAAATGAGTTATAATACGGGCTGCGCCTCTCGATGCCGGCGCGTACCCCGTAAGTAGCGGGCTTTGGATATAACCGAATGCCGATATTACGGCTAACTGTATAGTGGCGCACCGTTGCAAATCGATCTGGCCGTGCCGCGCATCTTCCGTCTTCGCTGGCGAAACAGCTGAAACGAGCAGGTGTATCATTTACGAAACGAAACCCTGTTAGAGCTCCCCCCAATTGTATTTTCATGGATTCGCTGTACGCGCGGCTCGTACAGCGAATGGGGCTCTCGAATGAGGACTCCTTCACGACGTTCTCGTCTATAACGGTATTAGCTGCAAGTAAGACAACTTCTCCGTAAATTAACTTTTCGAAAATATTGCGAAACATGTTATATGAAATTACATGTGTCTGCACACCCACCCACCCACACATACACACACACACACGCACACACGCACAAAGAAACACAAGGTATTCCTCGTAACGCGTGCGATTCGCATTTAGCGGGAACAGGCTTGGCTATCTAAAAATTACCTTAAGTGTCCGAAGTTACTCCAAATTTATTAAGTAAACTCTTAACTTCTTTAAGTAAACTCTTGGAAGATTACTTTTAAAAACTTTAAATTTCATTGAAAGTAAATTTTCCCAAGGGTTTCGATAATTCACCTGTATACGACTATAAGTGAAATGAGACGGTTTTTATCCGACAGTATAAGATGCAGTAATAAAATTTTTAAAGATATTTTCTTTAAGAAAATCATTCTGTCGATCAAAAAGTAATCAAATTTGATCTAAGTTAAATTTATATATAAAAATTATTTAATGTTTTCTAGAGATTTGACAGGGGGTGTGTACTTTCATTAATATGCACTAATCAGTTTTTTTCACCAATATATAAATATATATTGGATATATACATATAATTAATGTACGTATATTAATATGGTAATATTCCAGGAATCTTGCTATGCTGAGCAAATCAGGTCTGTACTACTTCACTTTATTTCTTTGTGTTACTTTCATCAATCCAATCGGTCGTCTAAAGTGAAGACATGTCGTACAACTTTCTAGTAAATTTACGGTGTGACGAGTATATCCTCTTAAAGAAAACTCGAAAAAGTTCTATGATTTGACGGAAGTTGCATCGTATCAGATGAGGACGATAGCGTGAAATTAAATCATTCCACTTTCTCCTAATAGAATCTAGTTCGCCCGAAGAAACACTACTTTATTTACAATTTATTTACATTTCCCTGTGAGCACGCGCGGAACTGTTTCAAATTCTTATCCAAATCCGAAGAATGCAGGTGTAATCGTAGAAACTCGAAATTCATCTATACATACAGGATTTACTTAATTGATAAAAACTACATAAGTATGGAAATATAGATTTCCGTTTTATTTAATATAATAGAATAATGTATGAAGCAAAAGTGTGTAAAACAAATTCGCTCGTTTCATTCTTTCGAGCCCCGTTTACTAGGAAATTACCAACGGATCCTTTTCTTAATTAGATCTAGTTAAAGCGATAAAATCCGCCTATAATCTGAGAGAGTAGATATTGTTACGCGATGTATTTTTTACGCAGTAGCGAGCACAGAAAGGAAACACGCACATTCATAAGAAGATGGCAATGTCTAACGAATCGATTCTCCGATCTTCACGAAAGATTCCTACATGCAAAGCGAATTACTTTCCGATTAGTCTTCGAGAGATCAGCTTGATCAATTGATGGAAAAAAAAGTACAAAGCGAACAAAGAGAAAAATCTCTCGGTCTCGTTCTCTTCTTTTTTTTTCCTTCCCTCCCTTTCGCACACGAGCGAGTATTAGTCGCCTCGAAGGCGAAGCCTCGACCGGGCACCGAACCCACCGGTACACTCATAGTCCACAGGTGCTTCCGCTTAGCGTAATAACGAATGCATAACCGCTTCCTACTACACGCACGATGAAAAACGAGGAAGCTTTTTTTCCTCTCACACGATATCAGACACCGCCGTCGTGCTGGTCTTCTTGCGCGGTGCATGTCGATACGTCTGTCATTGTTTGCCGCGTGCTCGTCTGCCCCTCAAGCGCCTTCTTTCTCACCGGTCACACCTCAATGGGTTCTCTACGATGTATTCTTGTATCTGGTCTCTTCATTGTCCTTGAAAGCGCGATCGCTGTCGAATGCACTTGCATCTTGTCCATTAGTCTCCGCCGTTCAATTATGACTCGGTTAACTCGATCCGCACATCGTTCGTCGATGAGTTCTCGCATATATTACCTGTAACGTATATATTAATATGTGTATTTACATAAAATTCTCGCGTATCAAATTAAATTAAAAATTAAATGCTCAAAGATGGATGTGAAATCAATTTAATTACATAGGTCTTACTAACAAGACGAATTATCTTTAAAAAAAAAGAGAAACATTTTGGAGAATATCTATTTGAGAATATTTCGAACATATCAATTGAAAATAGTTTGAGAATATTCTTGAAGACTACATGTGTGTATGTTTAAATAAAATTTCGTTTTATTTTTCCTTGATTTTATTCTAAATTTACGCAAATTCTCAAATAAATTAAAAATCAAAATAGAAGGTAGAAACTTAGCGTGCTTCTGCTGCCTGTAAAAATGCGTGCAAAATCAATAAGTGCACGCGATACTTCGGATTTAAGAAGTTACGCAAGATTGTTGAAAATAGATTCATAACGAGAGAATTATAATAACGTGAGGCGGCACGAAAGCGTCATTTCGTTATGCGATAAGCAATAACATTACAAAAGGGACTAGTACGTACACACGGGTGTATCATAGATGTTATTTCCATGAATTATATGCATACATTATCATACATTTGTACGTGTAATACTGGGTTTTATCCATCGCGATCGAAACACGTTGCCGTTATCGTGGATGTTTTATGCTTTATCAATATTCATGCGCCATGTGCTGCCCAGTGATCCGTACGTATCGAGACTTTCCTACGTACCTACGGCCAGTTGAGCACTTATTCTTTTGGAATATAGCTGTCCGGTTTCATCCAACTTTTTACTAACGATATCAATCTATTCTTCGATACGCATCGTCTATTTCCATAAAATGCTGGCTGAAAAACTGCATAATTTTCTTCCATATAGCGGAGGAGAAGAAACGAAAGAAGATAATGACTATTTGGAAGAAAAGATTGACACCAGTGAATCTGTAATATTTAAATATCGAGGCAGAGAGAGGAAGAGGGAGAGAACTTGCTTATTTCGGCGTGACAGCCACGTGGTCGCATTTATTTTACTCTTTTACTGTCACTCTCATCGTCTCGCAGGCTTTCGTTTTCTCCGCATCTGCAAACGCGGTCGCCGTGGCATTTTTACGGCGCGGGCAACAAAGGCGGATCCTCTGTATTTCGTGCACGTACTGCGCCGTGGTATCGCGATACCTCGCGCATTATGCATAATACGCCGGTAACATAATGCATCCATTGTTAAGAGGGAAGAACCCGCGCTCCGTCTTCCTCTCCTCTCTTCGCCTTCCTTTGTCGTTAAACGCGAGAGACGTCGACCGCGGCGATATATAGGAGGCATTTAATACTCATTTGCATGTCCCCGTGTATTCGATTCACCGCATGTCACTCACGCACACGATATACACACGTGCTCGCGCTGTTTACAGCAATTTCCGTCCAGACAAAGCCCACTTCGAGTGACATTTTTTCGGCAAGTCGCGCCGTAACGCCGGATGCCTCGACGCGCCGCAACATTGTCTACTCCAGCATTCAAATCCCTCGCGCCGTCGAACTCTCCGGCGGCGCATGATACACTCGGTTCTTCGCGAAACCAACTTCTGTCTCGTGGTATCGTAATAATCAGCGATTACGCTCTTGTTCGAAAGCTAAAGAATCGTTACTCATGGGATGAGGTAACAGAGTTCTTCCCAGAATTGTTTTCCCGCGCGAAAATGTGCCAAGCGAAGATGCTAATTGAAGGGACGCAGTGTTACGAAAATTAAATAAAGATTGCCGATATCATCTCTCTCCTCACTAGAGCATCTCTACCGTAATACATACTTTGTCTCCTGAATATAAAATAAAATGATTCAAATTTAAGTGATTCATAATATCATTTAAACCATTCACATGGTTCGAAGTAATATTATACATTGAAAGAGGATACGAGACGAGTGGCTTGAGATGATGCCCATTTCTACCTTCAATGGATCATCAGCGACGAATCTCGCGGCTTCTTTTATTAGCCAAAAAACATGTCGATCAGCCGTAGCGGCTCTTAATTTACGGTTTATGTCATTTTCTTTCTCCCTTCCTCGTTCGCCGCTACGTGTTGGCGAATAACGGAATGTTGCGCAACGTTTCCGACGCTATAAATGGCACGCGAGGCAGAATGGTCCTTCTTTGGTCCTGAACGCGACGCTTGACAATGCAACGGGACGCTCGCGCTAAATTTGGTATAGCGTAAATCACGTAAAACGCCTAGCGATCGAATTTTTTACTCCCAGTGAACGTTTGCGCATTTTTTTTCTTGGTTTACAGCACGATACTCCTCAAAAAGATAAAAGGAATCACGCTAGCAAGAATTAGGATGCGTTTTATTTCCTTGGGAGAGAAAGACAATCTGCGATTTCTCGGCGATTGATGGCGATGTTCATCATGCGACTGTTTTCATTTTACTGTTAACGAAATTTTAGACTTTTTTGAAAAGAAGGTGTTTTGCAACGGCGACGAGAGGCCTATTCGCAGTGCCATCTCTTTTATTACGCCATCGCGTGTCTTCCAAGCACCGGCGATTAAGGAAATTAAACCGATCGGAGAGGAAGTGAAAAAAACACTAGCAATTACGATAGATTCGATGCGCATCGTTTCCACAAAATCGGAGGAAAAAAAAGGGCCGCGAGTACTCGCGCGCGTATGGACTTGTCACCGCGTGACAGGTATAACGTGTACTTTCCCGTCCTCACACCTGTTTACCTTAAGGCGTTTGCGGGTAATCGTAAAGGGGAGCCATCTCACGTTGCGTACTGTCCTGCTGAATCGCGAAGCCTTTCGCAAAAGGACACCGGGATCGATCGGAGAAACGCTAGCAAACCTCGACTTGACGACATTATATAAAGTTACATAAACATCGGATCGATGACGAATTTTGCGTGAAGTCGTCGAGTTTTGAAATGCCTTGATGAAATATTAACTGTTTGGTAAGAAAATTTGTTTCGTTCGATTTAAACGAGCGAGATGAGTCTTACCTCTCTGTAGCTTTATAGAGATATATAGAGAAGAGTCTTATTTTCCATATGTTTATATTAAATTATAGTACTTTGAAATAAATGACAATTCAAATAAATGATTCCATTTTTATCGAGCCGTGCGTGATGAAAAGCTATCCCGCGGCAGCTCGGGCAGTCTCTCTTGTAATGTCTTTGTTAATATATTCAGGATCGATGATGATCGATTCCTTCGTCCAATCACGAAGTCGCCCCCTTCGCTCTCGTGGTGACAATCTTAGAAAAAACTCGCTGAGCTGCACGCGCATAAACCGGATCGGTTTTCTTGCCGAGCGAGAAGCTCCGTAATTATGTAATTACCATCTTTTTTCTTTATATTTTAATATCTTCAACGCTTACGCGACGATTTTTATCTTCAGGATAAGAATGTTATTACAACCAGTATTCATTGGCGTAACTACTGGTACGTTTACGTTTAGACGAGAAATGTTAATCGTGAACTTCTAACATCTGAAATGAAATGCAATGGCTGAACCACACACGATTCGAAGTTTATAGAACGATCGAGTGGTCCGTAAACTTCCGTTTGTATATTTTTTTCTACAGTTTAGAAATTCTCACCTTGTCGTTACGAATCACATGACGTTTATTATTATAAGTCTTCGCAGTTACATTTCCTACATTTTCAGAGAAAATAGTGTAAATTGGACGTTGGAGAGAAAATGAGAAAAAAATTAAAAGTCCAAAAAGCTCAACTGTGGAGAATAAATTTTTAGATATGCGACAGCGTGGGAAGAATTTTCTAAATTGACAAACATTGGGTCTCCAAGTGTGTATGTCATCCATACAGGAAAGTTCCCTATTATGAGATAGGCTCCTAATATGAGACAGCAGGTTTCAACATCGAAATTCAATCAGAAATCTTTTTTCGCGACGATTACACGACCTAACAATGAATTTTCCACTAAACAGATTTCACTCCAAGGGCAATAAATTCATGATGGAACCAACAAATGATAGCTATTAATTTAAATAGTAGCAACCCCGCTATCTTATATTAGAAACTTATCTCGTAATAGGCGACTTTCCTCTACATTCTTTAGAATCAAACCATTCTTTTTATAATTTTTTTCAATTCCTATTCTTATTTTTAAAAAAGTAGTTATATACCTAGAATAAAAGTATTACACTAATAACAAGTAAAAACATGGATTACTCATAATATCTTCATTTTTTCTTTGCTTTCCATTTTACGCATAGTTACACAATCATGTGAAGTAGTAGTAGAAAAAAAAGCAGCATAAACGTTAAGAACACGGAGAGTCTATTACAATCACTATAATTGCAGAAGATGTAGATCTTTGTCACAGGTCTGCTTTTCGTTTTCAGCTTCGTGCAGGAGTTCGCCTCCCCGCCTGCGGATGGAATCACCCTGCTGCTGGAAACCCTGCGCGGCGTTCAACTAGCTCAGAGTTCACCGCCGAGTTCCGGGCAGACCGGACCTAGGATCGGCACCAGGAGGGCCGCCCTGGACGAGTTGGGCTGCGTGGAATGTCTGGCGGCGTGTGGCGAACGATGCGCCGATGCGCCGCGGCTATTAGTGCAGGCGCAACCCGGCCTCCTGGCTCTCGCGGTTTGTCTGACCAGCAGTCTGAACCGGTCCCGAGTTCTGGCTCTTCAGGTAACAATCGCCACTTCCGCTCGCGAAGTGTCGCGATACCGTTAGATAAAAAGAATCGGTTATAGAGCCACCGCGCGTGTCGCGCGAACGCCAGCACGCTGTCGCGCGAAACGTCGCGGAGGCTCTCCGTACCCTTCCACGCGATCGCAGATCCATTTCCCGAGCTGTTCAGTTTACACCCCCAAGTCCAATGAGTAATTGAAGTACATATTTTATTTAATACAATTATGTATATTTGATATTTTATTTTCAATATTCACGAAAATAAAGAACGCTGCTCGTCTCGAAATGCGGAGTGACGTCTATTTTGGTCCAGTAGACGTCACTATATCGTCTTTTAATCCTTACAATTAGATTCCTAACTGAGATAGATACTGGACTCCACTGGTCGAATGTTTTTATAAAATAAGAAAATTTATTATTTTTAATTAATGCTTAAAATATTAATTTTTAACATTATTTTGCTGGTATTTTTGAGTGTGCATAATAATAAAAAGCCTTATTAAATTAATTAACATTTTACAATTGTTATTAAAATTTTGCAAAAACATATTACATTTAAGAGTCAGACATCCAAGAGTTAATGTCATTCTCTGCTATTCGCGATCTTTACACTTCAATGCGAATTGCGGCTAAAGATATCAATGATAACAGTAACTCGATATACTTACGCAAAGACGATAAAATACATTTACGCGCCAAGGAAATAAAGAAGTTACCGTATAACACCAAGTGGCCAGTGGGTCACTCGTCCTGTGCAATAAGTTTAATGTACTCGGTCGTTCGGTCATTTCTTCCCCCCGAGTCATCAGGACGGGGTCTTAAACGCGTGTTTCGAGCACGGGACGATACGCTCGACGGGCGTCGACGCCGTTATTTCGAAGGTGTGCTCATCGATGAAACCAGTTTTTATCGCTTATCCACCGAATGTTATTCGATCGAGACCGCCGTTGGCTCCGTTTACAAACTTCATGCGCGGAGGACTCTCTAGAACTTCTTCTTTTTTTTATCTTCCTGGCCGTCGGGGTCGGGACGTGTACCTTGCGAGCGGATATTGCGCGATACGATCAGCGGTTCGTCCAGCTGAGGCGGACAATTATGACTTCCACGGCACGTGATTACGAATTCTGGTAACAAAGCTGCCCGGTAATAAATGTTTCATACAGAAACATGTATTAATATCAAAATGTCCGTATATGTTTTCTTTCTCTTGCATAATCTCGGTTTGCATGTAAAATGACAAGAAGAATGAAGAAATAATTAAGAATATAACTTTCGCATTGTTTCTTTTTTATAAGGCATGAAATTTGAGGAAATGAGAAAAAATTTCCCATATAATCACATCTAAATGTAATAATCGTGTGTAACATTATTATATATACAATAAATGAAATTCATAAGGCTCTGATGTGAAAGCACAAATACGAAGTAATGAAGGAGTAAGAGCCAAGACAGGATGTTAGTGTCTATTATTATATATAATTATATGTGAAATGTTGTATAATCTGATTACAATTTTATATTATGTAAAAAAACAATACAAAAGTTGTTTTTTAATTATTCTTTTTAGTATTCTTTCTAGATATATGTGGGTAGAAATTATATAATAGAAAACGTAAAACAATTTTACTGGATGCGCATATAATAAATATAATAAATCTGATGAGAATATTCGTTTTGATAGCGACAAAATAAGAAACAAGCAGATCCCTGCAAATACCTTGCGCATGAATTCTTCGATTTCAAATTCGCGAGTCCTCAATACTTTCTGCATTGCAGTTTATTTAACAGTGGAATACGTTTAATTGCTATTGCAGCTCCTGACAAAAGTGTGTCAAGCACCAGGTGGACACGCGGCTGTTTCGGAAGCGGTGTCGACTCTGCGACTCAAATACGGAGAAGGGGGGAGATTTCGATTTTTAGCTGGCGCTCTTTTAGCCCCGCGGGCGGCCATCGCGCTGAGGGTCGCGGGAGTTTCATTTCTGAATGCTTTTCTAAAGTCTGCACCGCGCACGCAAACCAAGCTATACATCCAGGTAAGAGGCACGGTGAAAATAGTGTGTCTAATCCTATTCGTATTCAGCGATTTTGTAAAAGTTCTTAGAAATAATCAAACGATGTTATAGATATCATAGAGAGCAATAATATGTTTAACAATATTTATGTCTTAATATAATTATGATCGTCAATAGGAAAAATATAAAATATGCTATTTTATAAGACTCGCATTTATTAGTTTCTTATATCGACACGCAAACATTTCGCTTTCTTTTAGGCTGAGGCCTGCGAAGCTGGCTTAGAGCCGCAGGTACTTCAGGAATGGCTGAGAGAATTCGACGGACGCGAAGAGGACGCATTAACCGATTTACTGCACAAGGAAGTTCAGAAGTGGACACACAACTGCGTCGACGTGGACGCTCTGCAGCGCAGGGTGACGCGCGCGGAGGAGACCTGCAGAATGCTCAGCAAGAAGGTATCGCTTCTGCAGATGCAGCTCGAGAAACGGAACGACCGCAATGTGGAAGAGCAACGGGACAAGTCCGCGTCGACGATCCTCATCGCCGCTAAAAGTCCGAAAGTATCCTCGCACGCGGAGGACGAAGGTATCAGCTCCTCGGAGAGATCCAGCAGCCCCGAGGACACGAAGCACCAGGCGAGGACCAATCGGCAAAAAGCCTCACCTGTGCAAAGCAACGATCAAGAGACGACGATAGACGACGTGATCGAGGAGCTGCGGATCATAGTGAAGGATGCCGAGGAAGAATTCAGCGACAAGACTCAGGAGCTAAACCGTCGTGCTAATAACGATCACGAGATCACCCGCAACGAACAGAAATCGGATAAAAACGACTTGTACCGCTCGAATTCCAAAGTATCGTTAAATAACTCCGAGAGTTATGTATACGACAAGGTATCCAAGGTGGACCAGTACGCGGAATTGAAGATGCTGAAATCTAACGCGGGCCCGAATGCGTTTCAAAGTCCGATGAAGGGCGAGCAGGTGACCTACTTCGGCAACGATCAAGACTACAGCACGGACTCGGATGGCACGAAGAGATCGAGCCCCGGCGGGCCGCGCAAAACGTCCAAATCGTCGATGGAGGGCAGCGTCAAGATCGTCGTGAAGGGACCTGACGTGGAGGAGGCAATAGTGCCGGCTATTCTACATCCGCAGCCGCCACGAAGGGCACCGCCGTGCCTGTCGGCCATCCTGGCCGCCAGGCACTGTGACTTCGCCGACCCCACGGAGATGTACAACTCCCACGACGAGGAGGTCGAGGAGGAGACCCTGGGTGACGGCAGCGATTCGTTGCTGAGTGCCTCGAAGCTCAAGTATAACAGCAAACATCAGATCTACGACGGACAGATGAGGAGCGGTGAGGATCACTTGCAGAAGCAGACCAAGAGCGACGTTGTACTGATAGGCCCGAGTCGTATCGACGTTAAGCTAGGAAAGAGTCTCGACGATCTGCGTCACTTCGGGGATAACGACGCGAAAAGCCGAAAAACGTTGAGAAGCTACGAGGTATCGAAGTCGAAGATGATCGCGGATGTCAGACCGATCGGCAGGCAGATCGACGTCTACAGGCAGTTCGATTCTGTTACCAAGGGATTCGAGACGTCCTCCGGACGATCGGCCGATCAGCGGACGATTCATCGGCACAGCTCCAAGTACAGGAGCGAGATAGAAAAGAGGAAGTACCTACGTCGCTCGGCTAGTCACGATTATCTCGAATCGAACATGTCCAGCCCGCAGTCGAGACGGTCAGGGAGTAGAGTGGAGTGTCGCATCAGGAAGTTCGAGAGCCTAAACTCCTTCGACGAGCACCGCAGCTTGCAGAATTATGAGAGATCGAACGAGTCGGAGAATCACGGTAAACAGGAGCAGCACCTGGATCCTTCCAGATTTAAGATGCGCCGATCGGAATCCTTCCATCACATCTCCCTTCACGGATCGAAGAGGGATCAATGCTCGTCGAAGGGGGACAGCGACAGCGGTCTCTTCTATATCACGGACTTCAATCTGAAGCCCGTTGTCACGAGACGACCGAGATCGATCGACGCGCCCAAGTCTCCCAGTCTGATAACGAAATCGCTGGACAGGATTGACGAGGGTCTAGATTCGATGGTCGACATTGTTATTACGCAAGAGCAGAATCAGTGGAACAAGGGGGACAAGCGTCAGTCGAAGGCGGTCAAGTCCCGCGACGAGAAGCAGCTGAGATCGAGGGCGGTCAGACTAGAAGACTTCTGTGGCAATTCCTCGGACTTGGATCATCAGGGGCGGCGGGATAATCTCGTTTCTAGAAGCAACCAGCTGAAGAATGACGAACTGTATCACGTTAACAACAAGCAATTGAAAAGCGACGAATTTTACGACGAGCAAAGAACTCGTGAATGGAATTATCATAATGAGTTGAATTATGCGAAGAGCAAGGGCGAAACTAGCTCGGAAGACTCGCCGGTGATATTGTCCAAAAGTGGTATACGGCACAATTCCTTTTGTCAGAAGGATAAGGTCGGCAATAAGTTCTCTAGCAGACCGAACGACTCGGGGATTTTTGCTGGACGAACGTACGACACATTTGGCCTCGGAAAGAGTCGTTTTAACGCTGGCAAGTATTCGGGAAATCAGCAAATTAAAGAAAATCCAATTAGTCGAAGAAACACGACGTCTTCGTTGATTGGGAAACGTGGGAAAGTGACAGACGTTGTCTCTGGTCTTTATTGAACGCGTGTAAAGGATGAATTTTATATGGGGGCCCTAAAGAATCGGTGGAAATTATTCGAGCAGTCTTCATTTTCACGTATATAGAAAATGATTAAATGACTACTCTTGTTTAATTCATTTAAAAATAATTAAATCAATAATTAAATCAACATTACGCGTTTTGGGATTAAATAATAACAGAAAGAGTTCTATCTTTAAAATTATTTTATAAAAGTATTCCAGATATATTAGAGTATTATATATACCATTTAAAATTAATGCAAAGAAACCAATTATTTTACTCTTGTTTTAAATTAGATTCTACGCCAAATTTATACGAAAAAGTATAAATCTAATATACCGCCCGACAACAAAGTAAAACTACGTAAGTATGAGAATTTGTGATTTCCATTACGTATGAGAGAGCACAAAGAGAGAGATGCGGGTGCATTTTATCGATCGATACACGAGTACATTATTTCTTATTAGATATAAATCGAATAGATGACAAGAATGAGATTTTTCAGTGCAATATTTTTGAGTATTATTACTCTCTACGTTACATTTGTAACAATTATTACATTTACATCGAATATACACAACGAATACACGTTCTTTTTATAACATAAAATAATTCTTCTGGTGATGGACTCTTGTGTACCTTCACTACATTGTGTGATACGGTTTTTTGTTAACAACGATTATATATATGCAACAGTAGTGCAAGTGCCAACTAAGATTGTACTTTTCTATGTATTACTATGTACATATGAATATGAAGACGAGATTGAAATAATGCTTAATATACATTAGGAAAGTAAACATTAGGTCAAGCAGCAGGATTATTTATAACTTCTAAATTGCAAAATTATTTTTTGCACTAAGAAATAAGAATAAAACCTTCTCATGTTAAGAAATAACTTTATTTCTACGTCGCTTTTAATTTATTGTTTCGTGTGCTTAATATCATTTAAATAAAGATTGTAACTATGTAACATTCTGTTTAATAAAACTTCTTGTTTTTTTATTAATATATAAAAGTCAAATATAAGAAATTTAACTTCAACTGGCAGTCGCGTGTAAAAGTGTACTTGTGACTTCACTGAGTTCATGGCAGGAACCACGCGCATTTCTGTGAATCATCTCCGAATTATGTAATGTTAAAGACGCATGTAATTTGTCATGTGTTGGCTCAAGAAGTGATTGCGAAGATTTGTCTGAAAATAGAACAATGCATACATTTTTCTTAGACATAGAAATATTCTTAAAATTTTAATATTATGATATTGATAAATTATAATTATTTATAAAACGTAACATCTCATTTGAGAATTTAATTTCTGATTAATTATTACAAAAATCGTAAAACATTAGGCGACCTTTTTTATGTAGTTTAATTCTATCTACCATGAAAGATATTACGCTTATTGCTAGAAATCTTATATTTACAAATCAAAATAATCTTGGCACCTTTCGTAAACAATTATCACACTTCATATTATAATACTACTGTAGTGTATAATTCGATTACCTTGAATTGTCGATAATAAGTAAGAGAGCTCTTCCTGAGTTGAAACGTACTGAAATTCATCGCCGCAGGCACCTTTCAAAACAGTAACCACATCCGATCTTGGGTTGTAGAAATACAATCCCTGTTTTCGACTACTAAATTCATTGATCAATGTTTTCATACCCTAAATTGAGGAAGAAGCAATAATTGAATTCAGCACGATTTACATTTTAATGATATTATTTTAACACATTTGCTACTATTTGTCTTTATGACACATTTAATTTTTATGTTAATATCGCATGTATATGTATATAACAGCCAGCTGTTCATTCTATGAAAATAATGGTCTCGTTGGTATCAGATAATATGAAAAATATTATATTATAGTTACATGTGTGGTCTGAGATTCTGATTATGTATATCGAGTAATTATTAATCGAAATATGACAGAGAGATATAACGTAGTCTGTAAGAGTGGACAAAATCTAATGTGGCAGCGAATGTGTCGAACATATTCAATTCTCTAGAAAAATATATATTACCTTAGCAGCCGTAAAGTCTGCCCCTAAAATGTATCTACAATCAACAACGACCGGTACTTGACTAGATCCTTGCTTTATACCAGCATTACCAACTGACTGCTTTATAAAGTCGACAGCTGGGAAATATAAACTGTTTCCTGGAGTAACCAACAGATATTCTGCACCACAATCGGTCTATAACAAAAGTAATTTCATCGAAACATAATATTTAGGCGGATAACAGAAAAATCATACCATTTTGGAAAAGACTGAATTCAACGTCAAGTTCTACATTCCTCTGTTCACAGTTCTACAGTTAACAATGTAGAATAGCGAGGAAGAAAAAGAGAATAGAGATTCTTTCGCTTGAGTTTTTTGCTACCTACCGTGTACTTGTCGACGTGAACTGTAGGTCTTGCAGAAGGATACAACAGGAACATCAAATTTATGCCGACCCCTAATAAAATACCATATTCCACACCGATGATGAGGCAAAACAAAAACGTAACAAACATCGGTACGAGATCTTTTTTGCTCGATTTCCACATCAGTTTCACAACCTCGTATTCGATCATGTATATTACCGCGCAAATGATTACGGCCGATAATGAAGCTGAAAAAAAATAATTACACCAAATTGGTACTCTTCGTATGTTGTTGCGCGCGTTAAAATGCCTCGCTACCTTTCGGGATGTAATAGAAGTATGGTGTAAGTAGACTGAGGGCCAGCAAAATTAGAATTCCGGTGTACAGTCCACCCATTGGAGTTTTCACGCCGCTGGCGTGATTCACTGCTGATCTACTGAACGATCCTGTAACTGGCATAGAACTCGCGCAAGACCCGAGAACGTTGCAGATCCCAAGCGTCAGGAGTTCTTGGGAAGCGTCGACTTTGCCCTCGTTCATGAAGGCCTTAGCTATGGCTACGTTGCCGAGCACAGCTATTATCGGCACCAATATTATGGAAGTACCCAATTCGGAGCACATTTGCGTGAAGGTAAAAGTCTGATTATTTATCTGCGTGGAAAAAGGTGGCAGACCGAACGGTGGAAGACCTGATCTCACTGGACCCGTCAGAATGAACGGAGCTCCAGACTCGGACGAGTCATACTTGTAAGCAATGGCGGAGCAAGTGACAACGATAATGGCATTCCGCGCCGTGGAGATCAGCCATATCGCTTTCGCGAATATACGCTGATAATTCGTCGACTTCTTGCCGATGGCATGCAACTTGACGTCTTTCATTTTCTGTAAATTACGACGTATTGATATTATCAAGAGGACATATCAGATACAATACGAATGTAAAGGTTTATTACCCTAAACAACAGTAGAATTGCGATACAAGAGATACTCATCCCAGCATCCCATGGACTCGTGTCACCGATATTTTGAAAGACTTTAATCAAAGTATCCAGAAATCCTTGGGATGAGATTTTTAATCCCAACAATCCTTTCAATTGCGAAGCAACGATTATGACGGACGTTGCTGAGGTGAAGCCCACAGTGACTGGTATCGAGATAAAGTCTATAAGTACACCTAGAAAATTGTATCTTCACGTTAAGCTCAAGTAAATAAACCATGCCGAAGTATGTAACAAGGACATGTGCAAAACTAGTTGAAAGTATGATGGTTTTACTCGGAAATCTTAAAACCTGCAGTAACTCTCGCGCATAGACTGCGTACCCCGCGTAAGTCTTACCTTGCGCATTTCTGAATGGAAATACTTTTTTTATCACTTGAAATTTTTTACTTTCTATCGCATATCCTATGCTCACTTAAAATAAAGCATTTTCTTATTCGTTTGAGTCAGCATACCTAAACGTAAGCATGCCATTAGTAATTGCAGGCAACCGGATAAGAATGCTAGAAGTATGGCGAAATCAGCATTTCTTCCTCGCACATAGTCGTGAGTCATTAGTGCCATGAGCGCGGTAGGGCCGATTGTAATATCTTTACAGGAGCCAAATATCACGTAAACTATCGCACCCATAAATGCCGAGTAAAGACCATACTGGAAACAGAACATGATATTAATGATACACTCTCAATCTGTATTGGAGATGAACGTCGACAGTCAATATTCAATGATCCGCAGCCTCATTTCTTTTCAAATGTAAATGTACGCAATTGTCAATGACAGGAAATATGTAGCTTGTGCAAGCTTGTCATTTATCATTGATGATCCCATCTAACTCTGTGGAGTAAGGAGTCGATGTTTCATTTGTAAGATTGCATTATGTATACCTGCGGTTCCAATCCAGCCAATGTTGCATACGCGAGTCCCTGTGGCATAACGGTAAGACCGACTGTTATGCCGGCTATGACATCGCTGAGGAACTTTTCCGAGTTATATTTCGGTAACCACGCTAAGATCGGCACGCGTCTCGATGCTACCTTGCGCAGCCGATCGGTATAGGTCTTTTTCTTCCAGCGATCAGCTTCAACAGCCATCCTGGATTAAGCCAGCTTCATGCACAAAAGCGACGAACAAATAAGTATGTAAATCTTTCGGCGTGTTTACAAGAGCATACAATATTCTACATTTTTAATATAAATATTGCATTTATAAATGTAATGAAAAATTACTTTCTAATCGATTAGATAATTAACTGCTATTTCAACGATAAATTTTTGCGGATATTATACAAAAGTATCGTATTTAAAAAGACCTGTCTGCGTTTCATCGTACACTATTATTAACTGTACACAATGAAACGTAATTTTCAATCAGAAACCAAAAAGGGATATTAGTTATTTAAAATTCACAATATAATATTTATATAAATTTTATAATTTTAATAATTACTAATGTAAATAAGTGCAAAAATGGACAGATGAAGACGGGAATCTTGATCGGCTGTTGCGATCTTATTAACACTTTTGCAAAATGCATATTTTCAGCATAAAGAATTCAACGATCAATTATTTAAAAACGCATTTATCGTACTTTATGTATGACTAAAGATACATATATATATATTTACAAATTTTTCAAAATATATTTCACAACTTACTATAGCACTACTTGAGTGAGAATACATGTATGTATGTAATGATATAATGTATGTTATTATCGAAAAGATAAAATGCACAATAATGGTTGCACTCTTATCAAATAGAGTATATAGAGGCACAAAAGCGCAAGGTCTTTACAATACATAGGATGCGCAAAAATGCATTATAATAAAAAAAAATTTACGAGACACAAAATTATCAAATTCAGGAAAGGAACACTATAAAACTTATATTAATTTTATCGTATTAAATTAATTTATGTAGAAAATTTTAAAGTCGATTTTCTTCTTACGTAATATTGAATCTATATTGAATTATAAATGATTAAAAATGTGTTTCCTAAAGATTTAAATAGAAATTCAACGAATGGGCAGAGTTACCGACCGTTAAAGAGGTCAGCGAACGCATAAAAAACAAAACGCAAGAAAATGAAACGCAAATGGATATGCAAGAAAGACTCAATTAAATATATGGCCCCCTTTTTGCCTACTACGGACATCACGAACTGTCAATCATCAATTCTTATTTTATGTTAACTCACCATTCTGTCTACAATACACTGTGCGAATTGCAAAACATTTGTTGTAGGCATAAAAAAATTATTGAAAATTTTATTTAGCACTTTGCATTTTTATGATAGATTAATTTTGAAAATAAAAGTGACGCATCGCAATTGGACAAAACGATATAGTTTTCGCGGATCGAAGAGATAATGAGCGGATAGCAAATCCAAAATATTGAAATTGAACGTTTAACGCAAGAAAATAATTGAGATCGTAAACTGTAATAATTGGCTCAGAAAGAGTATTTCGAAGAAACGAAAAGATTAATTTATGACCCTGATAGCCAATAAAGCAGTACGTAATCTTATATTTAAAAAAACTCAATCTGTGAATTTGCAGATTTTCCTTTTTCAATTGACGGAAGTAATAAACTCAATCGCCGATAATTTAATTACTGATAAAACAACTGCCTTCAAGTTTAATGTGCTTATTTGAAGTATTTTTTCTACACGGAGTGGATTCGAAAAAATTTGTACGCGAGTTGTAGACTTTTGAAACGGACGCCGTTTAAAAGATACAGTTTTTTTAAATGATTCTAATATTTTCCATAGGTAAATTAATTAAGTTTTTGATGCCACGTGACTTGTACTTCTTCCATCAGCGAGACAAATCTTTTTTTTAAATGTGACACTATCGTGTAACAAAAGAGTAGTTTATTTTAGGACTTACAAAAATATAGACAGATAGTAGCCTAAAACAGTGTAAAACTTTATATGTAAAAGTTTGAAATCGGTAATAAAATTCTAATGTCACAAATATTGTCTATATTTTTGCGTAAGATAAACTACATTTGATGTGCAAGTAATCATACATGATATGGAATTATATTTTCCTCGTTCATTAAAAATCGTTACATTTTCTATTCTAAGTTTTGAACTAAAACATATTATCGCCCGATGTTTTAAGATTGTAAAATCTTAGAAGAAATTTGGCGAAAGGAATTAGAAAAAACTGATATTTTCAATAACAGTAAAAATTGCATGTTATTTAAAAATCTGTCTGGCCGTACGTAAAGTACAATAAATGGTTTGCAAATAATTAACTATCGAGTTATCTTAAACCACATATGTTTATTTCTGCCAATGTAGATTAACTTTAATCTCGGCTTAATTTGTTTTATCTTTTTCTAATTTTTTGAACTACCAGAAGATAAAAAGTAAGTTAAACTGAGATTAAAGTGAATCTACATCGGCAAAAATGAACGTTCAGAAGCTGACACTTTAGGAAATTGTGATTATGAAATCTGCACAAACTAAAAGAACTCGCCGTCTCGGAAATGATTGTAGTTTTAAAACTTCACATAAATACGGGTCTCAATATCCTGTAAGACTATCAAAAACTTGGAAAATAATTAAAAATACCCGCTTTTATTATGCTTATAAAAAGAATAAAACTGTCATTAAAACATTACAAAAAATAATAAAAAATTTTATTCAAGTTACACAGATCTTAAACAGGATAACTTTTTATTCGAGAAACTCTATTTTCAGCTTCTGTTATTTAAGAGCATAATTGAATGTATACACCTAAATCAAACACTGTACGTTTATTTAAGTTTCATTATCTAACGAATGGTTTTAAATGGATGGATAAAAATATGTAAACATATACGCAACGATTAATTCTTCCTGATTTCTCTGAATGAGTCAACGACGCTATCTGGATCGTGTATTAATACATATTGCTATTCGCGTATTACGTGTTTATTAATCGTCGAAACGTAACTCGGCGCGAACGCGAGATTACGTCGCGCCTTGTAGAGATACGATTAAATTTACCATAGACGAAAAACGTGGAACCGCGACCACCAACAATAAATCAATCGACGACGGAGAACGGAGTGCGTACTTTCACTGGGAGAGAAACGGGTTTCACTGAACGTGTGTGTTTGCCTTTGTTTTTTTCTTCTCCGCGAAGTCACTCTAATTCATAGAAGCTGCACGTGCTACTTTACGTCGCTAAATTTACTATCGCGCTGATATGCACGGCAAAGCTTTCTCGCGCTTACAAATTCCAGCGCACTGTAGACTGAAAGTACGCGTGTTCCGTCGTGCTCCTTATATACCCGGATAACGAGCCGAACTTACATCGGTTGGGGAAAAGTCGCTGTTAACCTTCGCACTTTTTATACAGGAATCATGAAAAATACGTTAATTGATACGCTTACGCGTGTCACAGACAGACATTTGTTAGGATCCGTTCACAGATTTTAGCGTCGTCGATTCTTTTAATCACCAAATTGCATTAAAAAATATACATAAAGTTGTATACATATATAAAAAAATATATGTTCTTTTAGCTTGTACAGATTTCATAATCACAATTTCCTAAAGTGTTTCAGCTTCTAAACGTCCATTTCTGCCGATGTAGATTCACTTTAATCTCATTGTCAGTTTAACTTACTTTTTATCTTCTTGTGGTTCAAACAATGAGAAAAAATATAATTGTACACAAAGATTTGCATATTCGCAATTGCGAATTTTGTCCGTGATCTGTTTGTCCAAACTTCCCGATACTAGTCTACGATGATACTTCAGTGGAAAAATTTCAAAATATTTTTCTATCACGGACTTGTAAAAAAAATTATGACACTAATAAAATTACATACTATTCTTCTATCGAAAATATATTAAGTAAGCCATAGAACTCTTAGGGCAAACAATTAAGTTAAAAAGTAAAAAGATGAAGTAAAAATAGTATATTTTACACAGAATGTTAATATACTAGAATTTTTATTTCCAATCGTTTTTAAAAAGCTCTAGCGAAAAAACGTAACACTACGTTTTTAGTCGTGAATATGTTTAATACTAGTATATTAAATTTATGTTAATATATTGAACATACATGCCACACAGATATTAATGTAGTATACGTATAACATATATGTTAGAAACATTCAACACACACATACACGACAGATCGTGTTTGATCGAAGAGGAGCCGAATAAAGATCGAAATTAGTTTTCAGTGCATATAAAATTAGGACAATACAATCGTGATACCGCGCGGACATCTGCGTCTGCAGATTCGTATTGGCTCTGACTTGATTCGTTACGGTCTAAAAAAAAGACACTAAATCAATTGTTACTCGTTGAATTTATTTATTGTATCCGAATGTATTTATCGCGATGTAAAATTCAAGTTTCGACCAGTCATAGATAAAATCTATAAATTAGCGGCTCCCCACGTGGCTTTCATTTTACAAGAGTTTTGGAAGGAGTTTCAAGGCTGACCGGGTTAACCACTGACTATCGGGCTGTGCATGCGAGACTTTCCAGATAACAAAAAACTTATGCAGATCGCGCCGCTTAATGAACACCAGTGCTACAGCCTTCGAAGTTTCCACGTCGATTGATTATGCGATTAAACGCGCGTAGGAAAAATCTCACACACGCGTCTTCGCGCACATAATATTTTACCTGAATCGAATCTCGCTCCCTGATTAGAGGCCGCGGCGTTCGGGCATGCAGGCGTCTCTTAACGTTCCTCGTGGAGCGCCGTTTATCCGTGCGAGGCCCATTGAATTGCGCGGTGTCCGCCGGAATTGTCTGAATGGGAAAAGGGGCGCCGATCTATTCGAAAGCGAATACAACCTTGACCCGCCTCCGTGTACGCCGAATCCTCTAGAATATAATGTACGAATAATGTTTTTCCTCCCACTCGCGTCTCGTTTTCTAGCAAAGAAGAAGCACCGCATCCTCCGACGAGAGACAACATGTAATCTAATCGCGGTGCCGCTGCGAGAGGAGCCTCCTCGTTCCATAGTCGCGTGCCGGCTATTTATCGCCGGCGATTCAATTCAAGGCGTTTACGCATCGCAATTGCCGGGCATTTAGTCCATTAGCTCGAAGGACACGTGTTCGATCTCGCATACCGAGACTGTCGCCGACCGCCTGAAGATCAACCCTTGATCCCTAACGCCAGTGAAGGGAGGAGACTTTGCCCACTGTTCGTCGGAGAATATTTATATCGCTCCTTCGCGCGATCAATCGGAGAAACATTTTACCTCTTGCTCCTTTGCGGGATTTAAGCCTGGTCTACAACGTGCTCCTTGCGTCTAGAAACATTCTATTTTACAGAAACAAATGAAAACGATTAATAAAACTCACAAGGCCCATATCTAATGAACACAAAGATTATACAGGACTGAAGGCCAAGGCAGGGTGTTAGTGTCTAAATAATTTATTTTAAATTTGTTGCGAAAAATATTACCTCAGCCAGGGTTTGAATCTGGACCTCCCTACTCACTAGGCAAGCGTCTCACCAATTCGACCACCGAGGCATGTGGTAATATTTTTCGCAATAAATTTGAAATAAATCGCTAAATTTTAACGTGGTCCTTTTAAGATCTAAATCAATTTGAAACGTGAAAGCCATTTAGGACCTGGGTGGAGGTGGCTAATTAAATTACTAAGTGAATCCATATACCGTCTTTTCCCAACCTGTCCTGCGCGCCGTTAAATACCGGACATATAACACAGGTTTTTCGTTGGGTGGAATCGTCAGTGAATATAGACGGTATATGGGATTCACTTAGTAATTTAATTGGCCACCTCCACCTGCGTCAGACTTTTACGTTTCGAATTTATTTAAAATAAATTATTTAGACACTAACATCCTGGCCTGCAGTCCTATATATTCCTTGTGCTGAAATGAAAATGCTTAAATACATAAAACATTTGTCGACAATGTACGATTGTATAATGTACAATTTATCAACTTGCAAACATTTTTTAAACGTATTTAGATATCGGCTACAAAATAGACGCAAAGAGCACGTTGTAGATCAGGCTTTAAGATTCCGAGAAAGAAACGTCTGTCTTAGAAAAATATAACGCCTTTGGATATGTAAAAAATGTAATAGTCAAGTAAGCCGTTTCTTCTTTAAAGACTCTAAAGTATAGTTAACAGAATAGTAAATACAGTTAACGAAGCAATACGTGGTCACTTGTAGTACGAGAACTATGCCTGTAACTATTTGCACTGAGATATAAAAGCATCAATCAAGAGACAAACAACTAGCACGTAGATAAGCAAACGTACCAGTTATTTCACTTTCCATTGGGAAAAATATAAATTTTCTTTACTTCGAGTACGCATCACTATTCCGGAAATTATCACACGAAAGTGCGGTTTGCGTCGGGATAAGATGCGCTTCTCTCAACGGCACAGTAACGAGCGACAGTCCGATGCGAGATTAACGACTGGAATGTTACAGGACAGTCCCCTATTATGAGATAGCTCTCCAATACGAGATAACGGGTTTTCAACATCCAATTTTATATTTCCCCTACTAAATTGTTTCAATCCTGATTGGGATAATTTTCGCAACAAATTCTTTAAAGGTAACGTAAAGGACGCTCATTAGCGTCAGAAAGTTAAGGTATTAATTGAACTTGCAACGAAAAACCGCGTTCCAAAATCGATAATCGGCGCGATTGCGCGATTTGGATGGAAAATAAAAATGTAAATTCGCACAAAACTACGAATTTACGTTACAAAGATCCGCGAGTGGCATATCTTTATTTACCCATGGGAATCACTTGGGTCAAAGTTTCACTTATTAACGCGTATCGTTTCAATATTTACGAATTTTAATTGAGAGCGTAGCGAGTGCTCTTTTATCGCGCCGAACCCTTGTACAAATTTTGAATCGACACGTCTCGACGATATCCTATCATATCTGCAGCACAATATTGACGCTAGCCGGTCTCCCCAAACGAAGTGCTTCACCAAACACTTGTGTCACGATCTGCGCGTACTCTTATCGCTCGGCAAAAATTTAAATAAATTAAGATAAACGATTTAATACGACTTCATTATGCTCCAAGTGAGGTATTCCTAAAATGAGGCGCTTGATGACTTTGCGCACCAAAGCTGACACACGGTGCGACCGTCGACAGGCTGCTGAGACCAAAAATGGCCTAGTCATTTTGTGGGCAGAATGAGGTAAATCAAACACTGCACCGTGGAAGTAACCCGTTGTTTTCATTAGCGCACGATGCGGAAGTAACATACGTACGTGTACTTGGAAAGGCAGATGTTATAAATGAGGAATCGCCCAATTTGAGGGATCGAATACTTTTCGAAACGACGACCACCCGTGCTCGCGCAATAATCGAAAGGCGGCTTTGAACGCTATTAGGTCGAGGTGTTTTTAAAGCCGTCGGCATAGTTTTCTGGCGTCAATAACGGTACCTTCGAAGGAACGTTTTTCATGGAAATGGCTGCCCATGCCAAGATCCTCTGAACCTACATCGCCGTGTGCCAATCAGTCGAGTTTTCAGCTTTTCGCAAGGTTCATTCTGACAAGTTCATAAAGGTACATCCCTCTTGCGCCTTGTGTCGACGATAACAAATGAAATTTAATTTATCTCACTCGTCACGAAATAACCATTTGGTTTCAGCAACTCTCCAGCCGCCTGCTTCTGTCGTTTAATCAGAAACTCGTGTAAGCAATTGGAAAAATGGTTAATGTGGCCATTTAATCGTATGTTTACAATATTCCGCATGATGGAAACTATGTAATTTATTCCGTTTAATCTTTAGAGACTTACGAGAGGATGGTTTGCTGCGAGTCTCGTCGAAGTACGTTACAATAATCCGAATACGTTTACGTCTAGCGTGCATATAAGATGTAACAAAGTTATGCATACGAGAATCTTTTAAAAAGTCCCACTGAGAGAACTGCACACAGTTCTACCGTGAAAAAATTGGTCCAGGGTGCGGTAACGATCGACGCGCACTGATATTTGTGCCTCGACCGGCATCTGTCACGGCGTCTACAATTGTCAACGATGAATCACGTTGCCAACTACAAGAAGCGATACCAACTAATGGCTGGTGCAGTCTGTATCTACGTCACGAGGGCATCGTCCTGCTTGATCACCGGTCTGTTCTTTAAAGGTCTCTGTCGACCAATGACGTATATAACGTCGTAAGAATAATCGACTGCAATTGGTCAATTCCGTTAAGGCCTGTGTCCACGATGCTAGGACTGGTCCAAGTTCTAGTTTCGAGAAATGTGTAGTCAATCAACTTGCAGCTTTTCCGTAAGAGATGCAAGTTGATTGGCTACACATTTTTCAAAACTAGAACTTTGACACAGTTTTAGTTTCGAGACATGCGTAGCCAATCAGCTTGCAGCTATTCCATAAAAGCTGCATGTTGATTGGCTGCGTATTTCTCGAAACTAGAACTTTGACACAGTTCTTGGATCGTGGACACAAAGCTTTAAACCCAATGTCCACGATGCTAGAACTTGGTCCAAGTTCTAGTTTCGAGAAATCTGTAGTAAATCTGTAGTCAACGTGCAGCTATTCCATAAAAGCTGCAAGTTGATTGGCTATACGTTTCTCGAAACTAGAACTTGGACCAAGTTTCGAGAAATGTGTAGCCAATCAATTTGCAGCTTTTATGGATATCTGCAAGTTGATTGGCTACACATTTCTCGGAACTAGAACTTAGATCAAGTCCTAGCATCGTGGACACAGGCTTTAAGACATGGGCCAAGTTCTAGCATTGTGGGCACAGGCCTTTATAACTGAACTGATTGCACCAGTTCGGAGTTTATCTCTCTCCCATCACATTAGAAGGTAAAAGATAAACTCTGAACCGGAGCAGCTGGTTCAGCTATAAAGAATAGACCTATATTGTAGGCTTGTTGTGTTGCTTGAAATCCCCCAAAATTCCTGCACTTTAAAAAGAGATAAATATACATCGGGTGTTGGAGAGAAAGAAAACGAAGATTCCAAGTGCGACGAGTGCGAGCAACACGAACAAACCTAACGTTAAACGACGTTGGTGAAAGTCGGGGTAAAAGGAACAGACCCTAGGGTGCAAGATAGGAAATTTCTCGAGACTCGAGAACCCTCTAGCCCACGGCCAATCAACGCGCTCGAGAGATTTCTCGCGCGACCAACGAGACGGCGTCCCGTCGACACCGTCGCGCCAATGCGAGCTTCGCGACGCGACGGGAGAAAACGCTACGAGGGACCTTCCCTCCCCGGCAGCAGCCAATCCGCGCAGTTGGCAAATAGCGAGGCGACTAGCGGTGGAATTTTTGAAATTTTCCTCCGGCAATTCTGTTTATGGCGTCCGTGTCGGCTGTGTCGCTATCAGGGCAGGCGCCCGATACCTTCCGAATCTTCTGGACGCTACTGTTCTACTACTGCAACTCCACGTTGATTCGCATCGGCGAATACTGCAAGCTGGCAAGGTAACAGAGGGATACCCGTTGTTGCAGCCGCCGAACGACTTTGGCCCGTGATTTCGGTGCCCTCGGCATACCGGTTTTGTGTATAACGTAATTCTGCCGTTTCAAAAACACGCGAGCTCCCCGGGGGCAAGCCTGTATGCGTCGAACCATAACATTTACCTCGCTGTTTATGTTTACGCCCAAGGGAATCCGACACGCGGGTTAAGAAGCCGATCGCGCTGAGAACTACGTAAAAAGTGGGTCAGTGTGAGGGCTCGGGCAGGAGGCTTCTCGTGGAATTGGCTCGCGCTCGAACCCCCTCGGCGGAGATCCAGCGGCTGGTTCCACTCGGATTTCTCGCTGTTTACTCTGTCCCGGCGACACTAACAAAATATTTCGTGATCCTTGGGACGAGTCGTTCCTTCCTTCCGATCCTCGTGGAACACGTGTGTATGTATATACGGCCAAGTTGTAATAAACGCCACATGTAGTAGAGTCGGATTTCATCCCCAACGCCGTTCTCAAGATTCTGGGTTATTACACGAGCCTCTGGGAAACTTATGGGTCAATTGGGGCTACGGTCCGCTTGAAGACGCTCCAAGGCATTTTTCTTCCTCCTTTTTCATAAAGAGAACAGAAGAAGGGACGCTAGGGCGTCATTTGTAGTGTCAAGTGGATCGCAGCTTGGATGGTCAGAAATTCGTATATTAACTGCCGCGATTGAAAACTGATGCACATGGGCAAGTGACAACCTTTGTCAGGTTGCCCGAGCTCAGCGGAAAAAGCCGCTTTGCAACTCTGGGTCAATTCTGTATCTTGCAATCTAGTGAAAGTGCTAAGAGTGAGCGGCTTTGGCTCTTTTTTTTTTTAGGGAGCGGTTGGAAAGAGACAAAGCTACTCACCTTCAGCACTTTCACCATAGTGCACAAGATACAGACTTGGCCTCCTTGTGAAAATTTGGGAATCTAATTGGCGTACGCTCTTAGTTGTAGCAGAATCTAAGAGCGTACTCTGATGAAATTTACAAATTTTACAGCCGTTTTGCGAAGCAGCTGAACGCAGCCGTTGTTTACGAGTTGTTGATAACCCGGGATACCCTTTGGGACGCGAGTAAACCGCTGAGGGGTGTGAGAGCATCTCAGCTCGAGTATGAATTTAAGTATCGCTGTGCCATACCCCCATTGACACTCCAGTCTTATGAATGTATTTGTGATTAGGTATAATGGATTACGCTGTTGAAAGTTTAGAAAAGACTTCCGACGTAGAGCGGAAGGCAATGCTCAACAAGCTGCATAATATGCAATGGCTGAAAAATACGTCTCATTCGGCGAATCCGTATGTTTTAACCCTTATTTCTTTGTCTTTAGTATATTATTCTCTCTGTGCTGTCCATTAAACGTTGTTCTGCTCCTACGTGAAGAGGCTCCGCTTTTCTATCTCGCGGATCGTCTTGCCTCCCGGCGAGATTTGACTTTTACAAACGTCTCTCGCGCAACATTAGCGTCTACCGCAGTCGCGATGTCGTTAACAGTCTTGTACGACGTAGGAGACAAAGTGAATCCTGCCTCGTGCGACAATGTATAAGCAGCATTGGGAAAGATACTTTACAAAAGTATCTAGTTACACAGTTTTTGTTCGCTGAAAATGTAACTGGTTACAGTTATAAATTACCAATATCAGACTACGGATTGAGATTGAGATTAAGATTGAAATTTGACCAATTGGAATAAACGTTACTAAACCTGAAATTAGTAAACTTTACTATGGTTGGTCAAATTTCAATCTAATCCCAATCTCAGTCCGTAGTCTGATACGGGCCTTAGGGCCATCGCACACAAAATTGCATAGCTGCTATGCACAGCATAAAAACCGTCTAAAGGCCTGTGTCCACGATGCTAGAATTTGGTCCAAGTTCTAGCATCGTGGACCCAGGCCTTGAGGGTCATCGCACACAAAATTGCGTAGCTGCATATGCATAGTATAAGAACCGTCTAAACCAACAAGCATCATGCATTGAATCATCATAGTGATTTACATAACATGCTCATTGGTCTAGATGTTCTTATGCTGTGCATATGCAGCTACGCAATTTTAGGTGCGTTGGCCCTGAAGTTTAGACGATTCTTATGCTATGCATATGCAGCTATGCAAGTTTGTGTGCGATGGCCTTTACAGTTACAGTTACTCAGAAAGTGACGAATCGTTGCTTTGCAGTTACTTTCTTGCGATGAAAATGAAAATGTCAAATCTGCATATGAATTGTAAAATGTCGACACAAGGCGTTTGTGCGCAAATGCAAGGCCTAATGTGATCTGTGGAGGTTTCAAATATATACAAAGTAACTATTAATGTAACTGAGTCAAGTTACAGTTGCAGATGGAGAGAAACGTAACGAAGAAAGGTAACGAAGTTAAATTACAGTTACCAAAAAAAGTAACTGTCACTGTAGCTTCGTTACAAGTAACAAATTACTTCTCAACCCTGTGTATAAGTATATAATCACTTGAAGTGCACCTGAGTAGAACTGTCTTGTGTTCTTAAGACAATGTTTTACGTTTTGAATCTCTGTCTTAAAGTAAGGGCCTGAAAAGAATGGCTGTCTGAGGCCGGTATTCATAGTCGATTCTTATTTCAATATCATCTTGAGTGTTGTCTTAAGAGGCTAATACGGCTCTGTGATTGGTTCAAAACACATTAAGAGTATACTTAAGATTATCTTAAATATAAGAACGGACTATGAATACCGGCCTTATACTCTTAAGACTATGTTTTGTGTTTTAAGCCTTTGTCTTCTTGAATTAACGCACAATAACTGCCTTATGTCTTAAGAGTACAAGACAGCCAATCTGCTCAGGCCCTAACGCACATTGTCTTGTGACTTGAGAATACAAGACAGCCATTCTGCCCAAGCCCTATATTACAGGACTTTATTTTATATGAGTTATGGAGCTTAAACTTAGTTATAGCATATTTATACACACCTGTTGCGCGCGTGCAGGATATTTCAGAACGTTTGTAGCTGTAAACATTGGATTGCGACTGTAAAATTGAGGAATCCTGATGAATCAAGCTTACAATCTTGTCTCTGCGATTAAATCTCTATTTATCTCATTGAACTTTCAATATACGACCTGCCGTTCTGAAATAATCTGTGCACATTTATAGTTTGACACTAATATGTGAATTTTTTTGTATAAATTTTTTACTAGCTGGTATGTAAAAGGACGGACTAAAGGTACATTTGGTAACATTGCAGTCCACGTCTCGCGCCTCGAAATTACTCTCACATTGCCTTTTTATTACAGCGGAAAGATAAGAGCGGTTGTCTATAAGCAAGTACAAGAGCAGGATGAGGATAAGATAATAGAGCATGACGTTGCGGTGATGACAGAAACCGTGAAGACACTTCTGGCTGGAGAACCTGTTAAATGTTCCTCGACGGACGATACAGGCGAGAGGTACTTGCGTGATGACGCGATGCCGGAGAATGAGAATATTTGGAGCAAAAATGTAGATGCGGCTAATCTGTTCCCGAATGCTGATAAACTGGCTGATCAAAAGAACGAAGAGGACATGCTGAGTATCGTGGAAAGTATTGTAACGGCAAAGCTGGACGCCAAGTTTTGTATGAGCCAAGAGCACAAGAATCAAACGAGTACATCAGAGAACAATACTGAGGACGTTGTTCAGTGAGTAACGAACAAGTTTTTATTTATTACGTTAATATCTAAACGTGTACCTTAGTATCTTATTTCGTTACAATATTGTATACTTTTAATAAATTAGAAACTCGGTACATGCGAGTCTTTCTGACTCACAAAAAACTGTTGGAGGCGTGAAAGAGCTGAAATTACTAACACGCTCTGATGGTAATAATAATAATTCCACGTCAACACCGTGTGTGCCGAAGGTGAACGATAAACAAAAGTCAACCTGCAAAATGACCAATATAGAAAGTAACAAAGCTTCAACGGAAGCAAAGGATAAAGGTAAATATGCGAGATACGTATATGCTTTATTTATGACGATTTGTATCATATATGTACATTTTATCTATGATGATGACGATTTGTATCATATATGTACATGTTTTATATAATTATATAATGTGATATAATATTTGCTTTTAATAGATATGTATATTTACGATTTACACTATTATTTTAGATGCGCCTGTAAAAATGAGTAATGTAACAAAAATCGGTAGTAAGGCTGGCAGTAGTACAAATTTAACTAAAGACAACGAAAAGTCTTCCAGTCCTAATAACGATCCCAAGAAGACGGTTTCGTCGAAATCACTGAGCACCGTTGATAAAACTGGAAAAGAATACTTTAATAATAAACAAAATAATACAAAAGCTGGCATGAAAAAACAAGAATTTGTAAAACAACGTAATGTTTCGAGAAACGGAATGGAAAAGGAGATGAAAAGTGCTGTTGTGAAGCCAAACTTGGCGAAGACAGCCGTTGAGACGGCTGATACAGCATATCTAGGTAAAAGTTTATATAAAGATAAAGCGTTACAGAAGCAGCAACAAGCAACGCCGAAACACTTGGCGTCGAAATCAAAGAGTCAAGAGTCTATTAAGAGGAATGCATCCACGCTTAACATCTCTGATGATAAAAATAAAACGGAGAAAGCGACACATATGCCCGAAAACGTCGATTCGCCACTGAATGGGTCTGAAAGGAAAACTGACAAGATTGTTGACGAGAAAAATGTTCAAAGCGATCAAAAAGTGAATCGTGGAGTTGATTTTAAAAAAAATGCTACATTTGTCGCGCAGTATAGAAATTCGACGTTCTCGAGGCCGATGCAACATAATCCGAGAACGGGACTACCTCCGTATGGAAGGAGTCTGTACGGGTACAATAATCCAAGGTTTGACAGGTATCGCAATGGCAATGCTGAACGTAGAGTTACAAAGAAAGAGCACGCACCTACTAATACATTGATCAAGTCAAATACGGGAATTGAAAAACTTGACACAAGAAATGTGGAGAATTGTGCGAAGCAGAAAAATGAAACTATTCAACCGACAAGCGAAGTCGATACATCAGCGTTTAATGATGGAAAGAATATAAATCCTGTAAAAGTGGAGACGCATTTGGTACAAAGTAAGGAAAATACGAATTTAAGCGTTGATCATCCGGAACAAGAACCTATAATGTCAGAACAGTGTCGCGTAGAAACGAATGACTTCTCGAAAGTCTATATTGATCAGCAACACAAAGATACAAATTATGAAGACACTGATCTGTTTACACCCTCGTCCAATTTACCCATTGATGAGTGCGCAACAAGCTCGCAAGTCAATGTGACAAGTCAGTATTCATCGGAGCTGGAAAATATTCATTGCACGAGTGCTGTAAACCAATTGGAGAGCAGTCAAGCTACTTGGAATCCATCGTCTGACAATGCTGCGCAAAAAGATGTGTCGGTTATGAGTTTACAACAGTCTGTTCAAAGCATTCATTTCAATACGCAGCATACTTTTACCCAAGCGGGAAACTCAGCGAGGCATACGTCGCCGTGGGAGCCGAGTAACGGCAAGTTTTACGATCAACACTTTTCGGTTAGCGACGCGATGCGGCTGTCGCAGATCCCGAATACTTTCAACGCGCCGCCCTACGAATGCAACGCGCCAATGTCGAGCGATAGCAGCCACGTCGCCGCCACGTCTACGCTGGAAACTATGAGTAATAGAGAAAATTCGAATATGCTCTACAGATACGGATCGGGCGTACAACAGAGGCCTGTCATGGCTTCAGATTTTCTCGGTCATTCCATATCGTGTCAGGCTAATCAGGCTAATCAGGCTAATCAGGCTAGGTGGAGTTCCTCGGTACAAGAGCCATCTGGCTATCACGTCGAGCATCCGTACATCGCAGCGCAGCCTGCGATGATGCACGTTTACAATCCCGCAGTTTTCGGGCCTGACGATTTCAACAATATGCATACGACGGATTACATGTCGCATCCGATACTTTACGCGCCGTCTCCATACATGCAAACGTGGAACTCGCAGTTACAGTATCCGATGCCGGTTGTGTATAATTCTGCGTGCACGAATTATACTACGTTTTCTCAGCCGAACAATTTCAACAATTCCATGCATGACCAGCAGCACAGACACAATTCTTATATGCAAATGAATAATTATATTAGGGATACGTATAATGATACGAATACCTGCGCTGCACCAGCGAGAAACACCACCGATAACGTTCCGATAAAATCCAATTATTACAAGAGGTATCAAGACAATTGTCGAACTTACGAGGTTCCTCAATACGCACCACCAGTTTCATATTCAAGATCGCAACAAGGTATGAACGTCATGCCTGCGACAGGTGTAAGTCAGTACAACGCACCGTATTATCCGACAGGTCAGAAACATTATAAGCAAAACGTGACGAATTACATGAAAAATCCGAAGAGTCAGATGCAAGATTTCACTTGCGATGACAATGGATCGGAAGACAGCCCCCCAATAATATCTCCGACGGAGTTCGTAACGAGCAATATAAATCTTTCGAATAAGACTGATCAGTTTGCGACACGTGTGTTTAAACCTGAGTATAAAATGCGACCGAACACGGGATATCGCCCGCCACCCTTCTTACCAAGATACAACAACGATTTTCGCAGAAATACTTTCCAGGAATTCCCGAAGGAATATACGTATCCCACCGGTGTCGGTCGCGGTGCGTACAAAGCTAAAAGAACATAAAAATTCTATGTGTAAACCGAGAGTTGGAGCTATGATATAAAATACGGGTACGTTCATGCAAGAAACTTGTTTTTAAAATATTCTACCTCTTATAAATGATGAAATTTATCTCACTAAGAAGATCAATAGTAAAGTTGTTTGAATTGTTCGAAAAAACTATCTGTAACAAAGCTAGCTATATTTACTCTGAGCTATTATAAATCATTTGCTATCTTCTTTTCTATTTTTGATACGTCTCGAAAGAATATTACGTTTTTTTTACATAACTCTTAGTTATAGCTTTAAGATAGAAAATTCCTATTGTACTACTGATGCTGAGAAAGGTAGATGTACCTATATGTATTAAGTTTAGATTCATATCCTATTGTGATATCAGGTAATCCAAAAATGGTGCTCTCCTTGCATCTAAAGACTCGCTTTAAATCTTTATAGAGCTTAGTATACTATATTCCCTCATAAATAATAAAGCACATAAGTTCTGTTTAAATCTGTAAGTTTTCACAGATGAGTTCAGTTACGAATCGCATGATATGTAACAATTGTTCGAAACATATCCATTGCGAGAAACGTTCAACAGGTATTTAGCATGTAAGATTCTCTTATGTTTGATTTCTTATAATTTTAAGATAAACTGTTTCAGAAAGATATATTCTACACGTGCTTTATTTTTCTAGCTTATTTTTGTGTTTAAACTATACTATTGTTAATAAAGATAATATAGTTTATTTTTCTGGACTGGTTTTATGAAATAAATACAATAAATTTTGATAATTCTATAATACATTTGTTAATTTACGTCACATGGTCAATCCCTTAATAAATCTCTATTTGTTTTAAGTTACTTTCAGAGCATACAAATTCCAAGTTCATCAAGATGAGGCATCTAACAAAGAATATGCAATCAAATGTTTATAAAAATATTTAACCAGATACGTTTTATATTTATTTTCAGATAATAGTTAAAAATAACAAACATATTTTAAACATTTATTTGTTGTGCCTTTTAACTTTAGTATTAACAATATAATTTATTATATATGTGTTTATAGATGTATATTATAATTGTCCTATGTTTCGCGTAATAACAGAAATGACAGACATTTCAAGACGAAAATTCTAATATCCTAGCATCTTTTGTGTGAATTTGGTAACAACACTAGTATAGAAACAGTCACACGTAAAATATATATAATACAAACTTATTTAATTAATACATTTCATTTTTTACGCGCGCACGTTTATAAAATACTTAAGGTATACCGTATATCACAGCCATGTAGAGGTCCGTTCATTCGTTTTAGAGACGATCGTGTCATCCCGCGTCGTGCCTCTGGATTCCCCTAAAATTGCGATTAGATCGATTTCGTTTCTCGCCATCAAGACTTGCTTGTCGGATAGCGATTGTATACTCGTTAAAATATCAGGATTCGGTCGCAGCATTATTAATTGACAATTGTTTTTCCTGAAGTCCTCTACCGTCATATTAATACTCTAAAAGTAACATCAATATATTAATATCTTGAAAACGGTATATTTATCGATAATTTTTTTAATGCTATTTATGTCATGTTAGCCAAATTCCAAAAATTTTGTATTAATGTGTAGATAAATCGGCGGTTTCGAAACCTGTGCGGCAGTGAAGTCTATTTTGTCAATATGTTCACAATCCAACACGACATTCATGCCGGGATTTTTCGTCAGATACGCCCTCAAGTGATCCACCGCGGGGAACAAAATTCCAGCGGTAGGCCGGACTAAAAAGTAATCGATTGTCGAGATCTGCGAAGAGAGGATTTTCATTTCTTTATAATTTCCGACATGAAGAATGACTTCTCAAGAGTAAGGATATCCAAGTCCGAAAATTCAGTTTCGTTTCCTTACATTTCTACGTTCGATATTTATCGTCGGCCGTGCATTGAGGTAAATCAATACTGCCAGGTCGAATATCGTACCTATCAAAATACCCATCTCGACTCCGACGAATAAACAAGCGAGGAACGTGATAAACGCCGGTATTAGGTCACGTTCTATAAATAAAGTAATTATCTTAATTGTGTCATTATGACACCAAAGCAATAAAAGAATATTAGAATGCCAGATTTTATCTAACAATAATCATTTTTGTGTATTACGTCCAGATTGGCCGCGATATATGTATTGATAAATACCGCAATCGATAATATAAACAGTTGTACATACTTCAAAAAATCTCTCTCTCTCTCTCTCTCTCTCTCTCTCTCTCTCTCTCTCTCTCTCTCTCTCTCACGGGAAATAACTTTTAACCACTTAAATTCAGAAAATCTCGAAGATCTTTAAAAAGTCTTTCAGACATGCATCTTGTCTAGAGCTATGGATTAATTATTTTGAATATATGCTCACTGCTGCACCTCCAGATTGGAAGTACCATACCAATTTCTACCATGAATATCACCGCGCTAATTATGACAGCGCTCAGTGTCGCCTTCGGGATGTAATAAAAGTACGGAGTCAGCAAACTTAGCGAAAGTATGACTAGAATACCTGAAATTATTTATTGCCATTAAAATTCTTTTTCTCTTTTAAGAGAAGTTGAGTAGAAAATAATATTGATACAGAGCATCTTTTCTTCATCAGTGATTAGATGAAATAAGTCTTCAGATTCGAATGCGTAAATGCCATTTAATTAACCAATGAAATTCACCCGTGTAGATGCCACCTAGAGGTGTCCTGACGCCGGAAGCGTTATTCACTGCGCTTCTCGAGAAGGATCCTGTAACGGGCATCGACTGAAAGAACGAGCCGACCACGTTACACAGTCCGAGGGTCAGCATTTCCTGCGTGGCGTCCAACGGCATGCCGTGCGCTTTAAATGACGAAAAAGCTATTCAGGACAATTTTTATATAATAACTCGCTAGGATACCATGCGTCCGACGTTCGTTGTTAACATTTTGCCGACCGACCAAGAACAATCTACCCGGTTCCATCGCTGAGCGAAAATTAATAGAGGGATTGCGCCACGTCTTCTACGACTTTTAATTAGTTTGTAAAAGCAGCACCAAATAAAACTATTAGAAAGGAGACGATACGGGCCATAAAAAGTGTGCGGTTCCGCAATGCTTAGGACGTAACTCGTGGGGTTGGCAAAGTGTTAAGACCCGAACAGGTCAGCGTGAAAATCCGAAACGCAAAGAAGTAAAATTATGTATTAAAAAGCGGTTTGTACAAAAAGCCTTTGCGATGGCGACGTTTCCGATAATAGAGATGAGCGGTATGACCAAGAGGCCAAACTTGAGGTTCTTCGTCATATCGATGAAAGTCTCAGTCTGGTTGCCGACCGTTCTCGAAAACGAGGGTGGTTCGACGGTCGGGAGGCCAGCGTTGATGTGACCCGTGAGAACGTACGGCGCCCCGCCGCGCGTTTCGAAGATGTAAGACGCAACCGCGCAGAGGACGACCACGAGGGCGTTCCTAGCCGTGCCGATCGTCCAGAGGAACCTTCTCAGCTTGGTATCGGCGACCTCTCTGTCTTTCAAGTACTGCAAAAGAAAAGAAGGATAAACCGACGCGATCAATCGCAGCCGGTTTCTGCCCCGAATACAGTTCAACCGGTGCACCTTCAGGAACAGTAAAGTCAGGATGCAGCAGCATGATAAAATCAAATCCGGTATTTTTGTGTCGGCGATGTGGCGCACCAATTCCATCCAAATCTCGACGAAGCTCTCGCCGTGGATATTCAGGCCCAGCAGATTCTTTATCTGACTGCAAGCGATGACGACGCTCGCGGCTGACGTGAACCCGGACACCACCGGTATCGATATGAATTCGATCAGAAACCCCAAGCGCAGAATGCCGAGTGATATCGTGATGCACCCGGACAAGAAGCAAAGCAAGGCCGCGTACTCGGGAATTCCACTAAAAAGAAAAAAAAAAGATCATCGGAACTTGGAATGTAAGAGCACTTTCATGTTACGCAACCTTGACGCGAACGATATCTGCTCGCGAGGCGGCTTATGACAAAATGGCTTTTAACAATTCAATTATGTTGCAGTTCAAGCGATCTCGCTCAATTAGTATACTCTTTCAGTCACGCGACCGAATGAAACTACAAGCGAGAGCATTCTTATTTCCGTCAATCATGCGCATAAATGGCATATTCAATGCAAGCGAGATTTACTGGTTAAATACAGCTTCCGGTCAATGACCTAGAATTTGTACGCCCACTTTCTAGCCAGTGCTATAAAATTTACGTTCTGCATTAAAAGAAAATTTAGCAAATGACGTTTAAGAATCTGAAAAACTGCACGTCTCTCGAAACACTGAAAGGGATTCTCGTTCTGAATGCAAGAAGCGCGAATTGAATCGATTGGAACACGTGACAAAAAATATATATTTGAGAAACACGTTGTTTTATGAGCATAATACGAATATCTCAGTAGATTTTATGGAACTTTGCCCTGAAGGATTCCTTAAAGGTAAATTTTTATTTGAAAGATAATTCGATTTTGGTCAAAGTGTCACGTGTTCCCTTTCTGCTTTCACTGGTTCAATTGGATAAGTAAGCGTTGAATTTGTCACAAACCTGGAAATTTAAGTGACCAAGCAACTTACTCTGCTATTTTATTATTTACGAGAAGCTTTGACTCACCTTGCGTATGTCCAAGTCAGTAAAGATATAAGCGCCGTCGGACCGATGTTGACTTCTCGACACGTGCCCAAAAAGATATACACGAAACTTCCCGCGAACGCGCTGTAAAGTCCATATTGCGGCTCCAAGCCCGCTAAACCCGCGTAAGCTATCGCCTGTGATCGCGATTATTACGTTTGTTAATAGCAATTGAATAGCGAACGAACGTTTTACGTACTTGAGGTATCAAGGTCAATCCTACGGTGAAGCCTGCAACAAGATCACCCAGTGCATCCGTTAGTTTATACCGCGGTAACCATTTTAAAATGGGAATTCTATCCTTAATCATTCTTTTGAAATTAGCTATGGCCATTGTTATCCACCGACTGTACTAGTGTCCTTTTAAACGTCCCAATAAGAGTCGCCGTAAGAGATCTGGAAAAACGATATAGGTAATATAAATTTAATAATCTTTTACGTAAAGGTTTAACATATCTTAGAAACGTTTTGATTTTCTTTCAGATTCTCTCATCTTTGTTACAAGGGTTACTTACACTTCTACATAAACGCAATAGTAATAATATGTGTACACACTTTTAAGTTCAAAGTCTTAGAAAAATTTGTTAAATTGTTTCTTCATCAAATCTTTCTCGCGTTGAACCATTTCCTCTCCTTTAAATTCATGAAAATAATATTTTTGATTAAAAACTAATCTAGGTTTGTATGTTTAAAGCTTCTTATTGTTTGAATGTTTAAGTCTTATTTTTTACCAATCTTAGATTGTTTGGACGGATCAAATAAATAAAAGTTTAATTTTAAATAAATAAAATTTTACAATACATCGTTACGTTGCGTAAGTAATCCTTGTAACAAAGTATTAAATACGTTTCACATGCTTTACTTGGTTCCGGTAAAAAAATATCCATTTTGCAAATTTGTACGCAAGCGTTAACTGACACATCACCCGACAACAATTAAGACTCACGTAACATCGTGTTTGTCTTCCGCTAAATTATCCCGGCAAATCGCTGCGTTTGTTTATGCTGTATCGTTTTAATGTCTCGTGTACTAATCACACACCGCTTGTAATTCAAACAGAACTCGATCAAACTTCCGGATTAATATCTTACTCCGACTCTTCGCGTACTCACACGAGTATTTACTGTAAGAGTAAAGTAATCAGAAGGCGATATGTATAGCTTGCCTTATTAATTACACAGAAAGAGTAAGAACAAGATCGGCCCCATTTTTTTCGCATTCGATTTTGGTCACAAAGTAGGTACCAAACGGAAGGTCCCGTCAAGATGATCGCAGATATGTCAGTCTCAGAGTGTACCTATTTAACGTTCCAGAGATATCGGGCTCTCACTCTTTGCAAAACACGTTTTTTATGAGATAATTATCACGCACAATTACCATAAAGGAACATGCATAGTTTCTCTTATCAATGGCCACTTTATCGGAAGGGCACACGAAAAGGGTAAATGTTAAGTCTGTCCGTCAAGAGTAAAATCAACGGACATTTTCTTTCCGAGGAATCCGACCGATCGCGAATGCAGCGTGAATTTTTTTTGTTTAATTGAAAATTCTGTCACGCGCTGTACTGCCTCGTTAATTCAGATATTACGATTGCTCTCTGATAGCCGCACCAGTTACTTATACAACCGTTTTTCACACGCTTGTTCGACTGCGCGCACCTCTTCGCCTCTTCGCGGTCCACACGGCGTATTCACGTGTTAACGCATGCGTTTACTCCTTCCTCCTTCGTGTGACATCATCGTCAGAGATCGGCGGGCCTCAGATCGCCAATTTGTTCAACAAATGGGGAGGGGAGGTCTTTTTCATGGTCTTTTCATACCATATCTAACGAGGCTTTTGGATTCTCTGGCAGTAGATCTCAAGGCGACTTTATCGTCCTTTAATCCTGTGCCCTTTAATATAACACGCTCGTTGCTTTCGATAAGAAATACACGCGTATCTGTAATAAGCGTTTATGTACTTCGCAAAGTAATAGCTCTTACAATTGCCGTGCTTTCTCCGAGAAACTAATTTCTAATCTCAAAATTCCATACTTTTGTATCGCCGCGCTGGTGTCCAACTTGTTTTTAATTAAAATAACATAACTACGTAATAATTTTATCATAAAGATATTTGGAATATAAGACAGAGAACGAGAGAATTACTCTTGTATATTCTTTTATATAAATTGTAACGCGTAAATAATTATCCCATGGATGACAGCATGGTATAGTGAGATAAATTGTATTGAAGAATTATTAGATGGGAGTGGAGCCGCGAATGTTAACGTACTGGTCCATTGACACAGTTACATCAGTTTTTATATTCTCAGAAAGACCTTGAAATAATTGACAATCTGTGATCCCACGTACGGATTAATATAAATTCATAATTCTTGTAAAGCGCATGGAGCGCTAAGTTGGAGGTTGTGCATGTGGTCGACGACCTCATCACATAAAAAACGACTATTGTTGTAAATGTTCATGAAGATCTATCTTTAGAACAGGCCAAGCACCATCCAGAACTAATATAGATCCAATGTCGATTGATCGATTGAATGGACAATATACACGGATACAGCAAGACATTTCCGCGAATTTTTTATTGAATATCGACAGCCGGAAAAGAACTCTTTTTCTGACATAAAAAGAAATATGCGAATAGCATTAATTGATACATGCGCGCGCGAGCGCGCGTCTCTGTGTGAGTGTGTGAAGATGGAATGAAGTATTTTTGTACGAAGAATTTCTTGTTGTCTATCGGTTCTAGTTCAAACTTGTCGTTTAAATTCGTGGCGTGTAAATGATGTACTGGAAATGTAATGCACGTAATTCACGAGGACGATGTATGCGTACTTGAACAGATATGGTACGTCAAAATACATTCTGACACATGCAATGCAAGTACGATGCGACGTTTAAGTAATATCTGTTTCTCAGTCTCATCTTTTATATATGAGAATTTGCCCTTTGCTGAAAGAATTTTGCCGTTTCGATTTATTAGATTTTCATTACAGTAGCAGAAAGACTTAAAGAAAAAGTATTTATAATAAGCATTGAATTAAAAATATTATTTGATACGCTATATAAATGCATTAAATGTGCGTATAAGGATTTACAGAGAATATCTACATAAAAATGTAATGTTTAAATAATAATATTTAATATATCTTCATATCGTTTCCGACGTTAGAAATGTACACTTTGTGATTCGCTCTGATTCCCACATCGTAATTTAGTGTCGAGTTTAATAGGTATACCGGAATTGCCCATGGAAACGTCCTTGCCTGTTTCCATTACCAATTATAGCAAATCGGTTTGTTATCTCTAATGTTTCATGTTAACAAAGGTGAAATTTATAATTTATTACAATGCATACAAATGCATATAAATGTGTGTGTATGTGTTTATAATACATACATATTTATGTATGCAGTTATTATGCAAAGTGGATTAAATACACAATGTGGATTACACAATATTGTGTCATGTAAAAATGACAAATTGGTAGAATTTCTTATAAATACATTTAATTTATTATTGGATTTAAAGTAGTACAGAAAGAAACATATACATATAATGGTTTCAGACAAAAGTTGTTCCAATTAATTAATAGAAAAAAATGATATAATAAAAAATGCAGGTTCTCATTTAAAAAATTCAAGATTACCTTCATGTAACTTTCAAAAATCAATAATTCTAATGTTATCAATTTTCACTCACGTAGCACGGAACGCAGCCAAAATTGTGCACTGCGTTACCCGCTTGGAAATGGACGTATAGCACGGACACGCACCAAGTGGAGACTTTATCGGCAGTGCTTGAAAATGGGCGTAGCGGAGTAGTTTCAAAAATGAAACTGAGCGTAAGACGCTGGAAACAGCCTAGCAAAACGGTAACAAGTAAAACGCCGGCGTGGCCGCTCTCAGGTTTCTCTCTGGCAATATACTCACATATGTATAATGTCCAAATTTTATTTAAGTATTTTTGTTTCAATATATTTATACATATAATATGGAAAAATATACATAATTACATACAATACGTAAATATACAATACGTATATCCGTATATCGTATAGATACACATATGAACGTAGATTACTATTTGTCCGACTGTGGGCAAGATTCTAAGTTTTAGTATGTTTTATTATGCATTTATTTTATCTGTATTTCTAATATCAAATTTATTAAAATTGTATTTCTCTTGCAAGAAAAATATGCAAATTGTCCCTAGATTTCGATTGACCTGCTTGCATGGCTAATCGTATGGCCAGAGGCAGTCAAAAGAAAAAGATTCGTAATTTATGGCACTTGATATATCTATCTCATAATTAGTATCATAGAAAACTATTATACATTTATAGACAAACGTATAGCTTGATTAACGTTAACAGTTTAATACAATCACATTCGCTGATTGTCAGTAGCGGAAGTAAAGTTTTACTTCATGTAATTGAATGTCTTACTCCACAGAGTTGAAAAATTACGTAAAGTCGAAGGGAACGACGCTACCGAGCATGAAGAAAGAGAGGAAACGGAGGAAGAAATAAAGGAGTTTAAAAATACTCTTATAACAAATCATTTTTCTCGTCATTGCCACTTTTTTCGCGGTGAGCGCATTATATCGGCTCTCATCCGGTTAGTATTTATCGCCAAGCCTGGCATTTCAACATTTTATTTAATTCTATCGTGAATCAATTCAAAGCGGATTACACAATATCATTATTGTCAATAAAGCGGTTTTAACATCTCTGATGACATTCCGTAAAAGATTCCTATTTTCCTTTTAAGGCATAATTTTTTAACCGCTACGTCCTTTATCTATCAAGGAATCCGGTTTTCCTTATCTTGTATTCCGTATTAATATACTTGTTTCTTCATTGGTCCCACGTGTAGTCGGAGGTAGAGGAAAAGAACTGCGCTTGCCGGTCGCGCGTCATTGCAGCGGAATTTCGGCTGTAAGTATATGTAACGGAACAACTGGCTCCTTAACAGCAGTTTGAAGCGCCATGCACTGTGCGGAAAAAAAACAGAGTGAGATAAACTCTATAACGTTTTATCAAACCCCGATCATCAGACCCGGATCTCTGAACCTTCCCGCGACTTCCTACTTCTTTTCGTAAACAAGAAACTCGCTTGGATTCACGCTTGAGAGTTCTTCACCCTCCCCGCATCTTCATCCATCATCATGTACTTTCATGACTCACCGATGACCATCTTCTTTGCTCGATCGCCACATCCTTCTCTGAATCTTTCCGAAGTTTTAATTTGATACACGCTTCTTCAGGAGTGCCTCGCAATTCGTGTTACGTAAACGTATGATATTTTGAGCAGCTGACGTTGCACATTAGGTTTATTAAATATTTTGATTTAAGAAACGTGCAATGGGCTAGAAACATATTTACACATTTTATCTCGATTGTATCTGCATTTCCTTAAATTCGAAAATTTATAATCATTTAGATTAATATCCATCCTATCGAAGTAGGAGAACTAATATTTACGCTTACGGTTTTCCAGGAGGTTCGTGATTTTCCTGATCGGTCAACGATCCTGTCACATCTGCGAGTAATAATCTCTACTCACCTTTAAGCTACCATAATCGGTTGATTTCGATTAATTGCGGCAGACAATGGACGAGAGATCAAGTTCAAGATCAACGATGTTGCGCGAGAGTCGTCATTAAGAGGAGGAAAGAAGTATCTTCATGCGGTGAGTGACTCCTGAGCCAAGGACTTCGACCTACACCTGACTTTCGCGCTCCACGCGACGACTTTACATCCGGCGGCCTCGCATCCAATCGAATCACTTCCCCTTCCATTTCAAAATTCTGTTTACTGACAATTAAAGTGTCCCAAATTTAGACATCGCCTACAATCGATTTTACTGGTTGCGCAAATTATTCCGTAACGTTTCCAGTGGATTTTTAATATTCCACGTGGAATGTCTTACAATTGGAAATAATTCATAAACAAGGATTCTTGCAATGAGATTTGGCTTCATTGACATATTCAAAATTTATTTCGCCAAATTTCAAAAGACTCAATATGTTAAAAGTCATCTTTCCCAAGAAATTGTGGGACGACTTATACATTTGTATACCGGCATCAGAAGTGGTCGAACTCGAACGGTTAACTGTGTTTCGACCGTAAAATCGCCCACGTGACCGAAATCGGATTCGGAAATTATGTGAATTTCCTTATTACCATGCTTTCGTGAACCTCGCGGCTGCATTTGTGCGCGAGCTGCACGTAAACGTTGCCGAATAATATGTATAGAAACAACAAAAGTACAAATTGATAAAAGTACTCGAAAATATATTCAAAGTCGTAAGACGTACGATTCTTACTTTTCTAAAAATATAGCTTATTCTTAAAAAAATTATTTCGCTTACATAATTTTTGTTTAGAGATGTAAATATCGAAGCTAAATTAAAGCAGCTCGGTAATGTGGACTCTTAAACTATTCTTAGAACAATAACTTAATTCTTTTTAAAATCAAGATACTGTAAGATTTTTCGACGTCTTCGATTGCAACCGCTAAGACAATAATATTAATGTATGTAATATAGCGTTGCAAGCGGATAATGTTTGAAAATTCTTCGAAGAAAGAATCCCAAAGCGACGGTTCTTACTCGGGAATCCCCAAAAAGCGGGCCATACTTCGCAACTAATTTGCGCACCGCTATGCATTTGTTTATTGACGAGTCAACACGACGATGTACCGTTAAAGATTCTCCCATC